CCAGGCCGCTGCCCTCCCCGGAGCGAGAGCGGGCCGGCCGGCTCGAGGCCCCGCGTGTCCACTGCACCCGCCCCGAACCTAGACTCCTTCTCCCTCCCGCCCCGCTCCCCCGAGCCAGGACTCTTCCTCTCCACGACCCGCCTCAGACCTCAAAGCCAACCGCCATCACTTTCCACAAAACCCTCCCTCGTCCCTGCTCGTCCGCCTGCGCCCGAGGTTTCTGGAGCTTTCAGTGACTTGCGGGCTTGGCCAGAGACGTCTGGCGCTCCATGTTTGGGGTTGAACTTTGTTCACCGCTCTGGGGTTGCTGAGCCTGGTCTTCCCTCGGCCCCTGACCTGATGGGCCAGTCTGGAAGCCGTCTGTCCCTCTCACAGCCCTGCTCCAGCCACTGCGGAATACAAACCAGAGACTAAGGAGGCTCAGACCCTCCTTAGCTGCTGCGGTGACCTCGCCCAGCGGGGAGTGTGTGTCATTCGGCCAAGGAGAGGTCAAAGGCCAAGGCAGACAGGGTGGCTCTGGCCTCTGACCTTCTCCACATCCCTGTGTGTGTGTGTGTGTGTGTGTGTGTTTGGGGGGCAGTGGGAATGAGGGAAGCCAAGAAGAGGAAAAGCAGGGATCTGTGCCAGGGCGTGGAAAGAGCACTGTACTGGGAGTCAGGAGAGCCTCATTGTAGACAGTTCTGTCTGACTTTGGGCACAGCCCCTAACATCCTGGGGTATCTAATCTCTGGGGTCCAAATGGGGCCCTGCCTGCCCCCTAGTTTATGAATGTGAGTTGTGGCATGAGCATGAGTGAGTGAGAGAGGGGGCACTCCGTTTCCACAGGCAGAGGGCTGGTGGCTTTGGGTGGGGTCTGACCTTGACAACTGGGGATGGGGATGAAAATGGCAGTCTGAGACCCAGTGTGGGTCTCAGATAGACTATAATGCAAACTGGGAACAGGGCTGCGGACAGAGGGAAAAGAGAAGTGTGACCCAGTGTGTCTGCTTCCTCAATTTGCCCACAAAGGCTGACTTTGTTACCACTTACAGCCTTTGCTGCTGAGGGGCAGGCTGCCTAGTTTGGGGGGTCGCTGGGCAGGAATCCTGTTCCCCATCCTTCACTGTACCACCAAAGTGATTGCTACGGTGACCGCCACCTTCTTTCTGTGCTCTTGGCCCTGCCGGTGTGGGTGGCACCTTTACCAGTCCGGTGGCCTTTCACCCGAGTCTCCCACCCCCCTTTGCAGGGAAGCGGCTTCTGGCCTTTGCCCATTGGCGGCAGACACTGGGCCCAGACGCTGGCTTCTTCACTTTCCCTCTCTGGCTCCACAAGTGTCTCCCAGTTGCAGGCTCTGGTTCCTTCAACTTCCAAAGATAAATAAATAGTGATTGCAAATGGAGGAAGAGAGGGGGGTGGACTCCCCCAGCAGGAGCCCTCGGCAGGCGGCAGGCAGGCTGAGACTGCATTCCTCAGGAAGGGTTGAGAAGGGAGCCACGGCCCACAGGCAGGGTCTGCCGTCCAACCTTCCTGTTCGCAGGCAAGGAAAACTGCTCAGAGAGAAGAGGAGAGGAGGCCTCTGGCCTGGTCACACAGCTTCTCCGTCGTTTCTTTTTGCTAAATGAAGATACCCAAAGTATGGAAAGGAATTCCACGGTAACACCACTCTCTGGGGCTGAATAGAGGCCAAACCACATTGAATGAGGTGATGCTTCCCCACAGGTGGGAATGAGGTGCATGGTGGAGACATTTATACAATGCTGTCCTGTCCTGTTGGTCATTGCTTTTGGCTTCTATACCCACCCAAGGAGGTGACTGGGGCAGGGGCTACTTTCCCATTTTACACGTGTGGATGAGGAAACCGAATCACTGAGCAGTAACCAGCCAGGAGTGGGAACTTACTCTCTGATTCCTTTTTGTGTGTGTGTGTGAGGAAGATCAGCCCTGAGCTAACATCCATGCTAATCCTTCTCTTTATGCTGAGGAAGACGGGCTCTGAGCTAACATCTATTGCCCATCCTCCTCCTTTCTTTTTTCCCTCCCCAAAGCCCCAGTAGATAGTTGTATGTCATAGTTGCACATCCTTCTAGTTGCTGTATGTGGGACGCGGCCTCAGCATGGCCGGAGAAGCGGTGCGTCGGTGCGTGCCCGGGATCTGAACCCGGGTCTCCAGTAGCGGAGCACATGCACTTAACCGCTAAGCTACAGGGCCTGCCCGCTGATTCCTTTTTTTTTTTTTTTTTAAAGATTTTATTTATTTTTTCCCCCAAAGCCCCGGTAGATAGTTGTATGTCATAGCTATATATCCTTCTAGTTGCTGTGTGTGGGACGCAGCCTCAGCATGGCCGGAGAAGCGGTGCGTCGGTGCGTGCCCGGGATCTGAACCTGGGTCTCCAGTAGCGGAGCACGTGCACTTAACCGCTAAGCTACCGGGCCTGCCCGGTTGTTTCTTTTTTTTTTTTTTTTTTAAAGATTTTATTTATTTTTTCCCCCAAAGCCCCGGTAGATAGTTGTATGTCATAGCTATATATCCTTCTAGTTGCTGTGTGTGGGACGCAGCCTCAGCATGGCTGGAGAAGCGGTGCGTCGGTGCGCGCCCGGGATCCGAACCTGGGCCGCCAGCAGCGGAGCACGTACACTTAACCGCTAAGCCACCAGGCCGGCCCCGCTGATTCCTTTTTAAATGCTCTTTTCTCTGAGCCACTCAAAGCCTCTCCTATAGGAAGCTTCCTGGTTATCTGTCCTCAGAGGTGCAGGGTGGAATGAATGAGTTGCCTACATGAAAATCTTTTTGTTTTGAAGTTTGTTTGAGACAGAAGAATGACTCAAACTTAATTCCCAACCTCAGGAAATCTGGCTAGGGGCTCTACCAATTAAATACACCTTGATACTGTATGGTAAGCTCTTCAGTGGAGTAGGGATAAGGTACCATGGTCATAGAGATGAGGCTGAATTAACCCTGACTGAAGCAAGGGAGGGGGCCTTACCAAAATGTTAGTACAATCTAGGGCCGAAGTGTAACTCACCTGACTCTACTAGACCCTAATTATTCCCTTACTGTCTGGGGGCTCATATCTGCTACGCCCCTCTCAAAAGAAGTTTGCCTTTGCCAGGTGCTAGCTGCTGGCCAACCTCTCTTTTGCCCCCAACTTCAATGCTGATCCATCCCCCTGATTAGGGAGTGGCTGGGGCCTCTTACCCGGTGATAGACCAGACCATCCATTAGGAGCAGCTGGGAGTGGAAGATGACATAATGGTCAGTGTCCCCTCCCTCTGACCAGAGCCACCAAAGGAGGACCCACACATCAGGGTCCTGAGTGCTTATTATGTGTAAGGGACTTGTTGACTACATTTTACAAGAATTACCTCGTTTAGTCCTCACAACAGGGTGAGGATGACTGTTTTAGCAGACAGGGAATTGAGCCGTGAAGGGGCACCTTGATAGTCACTAGCCCAAGGCTACACAGCAAGATCTGAAGCAGGTACTCTGGATCCCGAGTTCACAGTTTTAACCACCATGCTCTAGAATTTCTGGGGGAGGAGAAGGGCTCTCAACAATTTCCCCAAGAGGTTCGCTTCCACTTGAGGTTTTCTCGTTTTCATTCCCTGCCCTCCCTGAGCTAAACCTTTAAAGACGTCCGCTCCCAAACCATAGCTGGGAGGAACCAGGCCCACCTTCCCTTATTCTAACAGAGTCAGGGAAGGCAGAAACTTCCCACAGGAGCTTTGACTCGGCTAGAAGAAAGTAGGGGTGAATAAAGACTGCAGGAAGACGACAAACATGTATGGAATCTAGACAGCAGGAGGTAACACTTGCCAGCTCCAGGCCCTGCTCTCTTCTCCCCGCTGTCTGAAGGTCCCACCCGGGATCTTCACCTCTTAATTCTTAGGTTTTCTGTCTCCCTCTGTGCCTTGTTGCCTTTAAGAGGCAGGATCCTAACACAGACCCAGGACAACAGTGGGCGAGATAATGGCCCATAATTGGATCGATAATGCAAATGTGACATTTCTCCAGGGCTCCATTAGCTTGGAAGGATAGTGGAGGTATAGAGGCTGTGACCACTCCCCGCCCCCCATTCTCTCACCTCCCTCCCAGGATGGATCTACTGGACCATCCTCTGAGCTTTCTGTCCTTCTCTTCCCTGTCCTGTACATCCCTGTGGGGACTGGGCTGAGCTGCTTGTCCTGTTGGAACATTTACACTAAGTGTTCATGGCAGAGAAATGCTCATGCCTCAGCCAGAAGGAATGAAGAAGAACTGTGGGAAGCTACCCAGGTAACTATTTGGGCCTGCGACGGCTTCCCTTTGGTGATCAGATTCCACCACATACACGGCACATGTGTATAATTTAGACGCTCCCACAGGAAAGGGTCATAATCTCTTTCTCTATTAAAATCTGACTCATCCTTTAAGTGAAATCTGCTCACACTCTCACAGATGACGGAATACCTCCTGCACTCTGAGCACAGTGACTAAGGGCAGGGACTCTGAAGCTGGATTCAAGTCCTGGCTCTCCATTTTACTGATCTGTGACTTTGGGCAAGTCACTTAATTTACCTAGGCTCAGTTTTCCCATCTGTGAAATGAGGGATAAAAAACAGTATTTTCTTCAGAGGATTGCGATGACGATGTCAGTTGCATGTAAGTGATGCCTGTGTGGTACGTAGTCACGTGTCGCTTATCGATGGGGATATGTTCTGAGAAATGCGTTCTTAATTGATTTTGTCATTGTGCAAACATCATCGAGTGTCCTTACACAAACCCACATGGCATAGCCTACTACACACCTAGGCTATGTGGTACTCATCTTACGGGACTACCATCATGTATGTGGTCCATGGTTGACCAAAACGTCTTCATGCAGAGCATGACTGTATATACAAAAGTATATTCGGGTTTTGTCCTTGGTTCCTGACCCAGAGCTCCTAAAACTCTTAGAATTTCCTGAGTGACAGGCGTATCTTCTGCTATTCGTAAGGAGACTCTGCACACACCTGAGTTTATGCTAATGAGGTGACTTAGGGTGGTACTCCTAGATAACCTCAGGATGGGGCTGCTCACCAGAAAGACCAAGAGATTAGAGGGTTGGCACTGTCAGCCCCACCAAACGACCTCTAGGAAAGGGAGGGGAGGCTGGAGATTGAGCTTTATAAAAATTCTTAAACAATGAGATTCAGAGCTGCTGGGTTGGTGACACATCAAGTTGCCAAGAGAGTGGCACATCCAGAATGCACATGGAAGCTCCATGCCCTGTATCCCCATCCCCTGCGTCTCTTCCATCTGGCTGTTCCTGAGTTGTAGCCTTTATAATAAACCAGCAAATGTAAGTTAAGTGTTTCCCTGAGTTCTGTGAGCCGTTCTAGCAAATTATCGAACCTGAGGAGGGGGTCATGGAAATCTCTGATTTATATCCAGTCAGTCAAAAGTACGGGTGGCCCAGGATTGCAACTGGCATCTGAAGTGGAGCCCTTAGCCTGTGCGGTCTGCACTACCTCTGAGCAGTCAGTGTTGGAACTGAATTAAATGGTAGGACACCCAGTAGGTGTTGGAGAATTGAAGAATTGATTGGTGTCGGAGATCACCTCAGCCTGGAACACACGAGGACTCGGTAAATATTAGTAGGACTCGCTGCTGTTTTTCTTATTGGGACCTACTTAGTTTTGTCCTGTGTTATAGTTCACTGTTTACATATTTGACTCTTCCACTCAAACGTAAGGTCCCAGAAGAGGGAATTCGTTTCTTTATTGCTCTGATTCCCAGCCTCTTTTAGTGCCCAACAAATAAAAGAGACATTTATTTAACTTGTACAAAGTGTTGCTGAGGTCTTGGTCATTTATTTAAACAACACTTATTGAGCATCTTCTACGTGCCAGATACTGTTTCGGGCACTGAAGATACAGCAATAAACCAAAAGAAAATCTGAGGCTTCACAGAACTAACATTATAGCAGAGGGAGTCAGGTACTATGTAAATAAACAAATAAACACGTATAATCTAGTAGATGGGGATAAGATCAATGAAGCAAAATTAAGCAGAGTAAGGGAATAAAGAATGAGGGGTAGATCTCGCTGACAAGGTGATCTTTGAGCAGAGTTCTGAAGGAATGGGAGCAGGCCCCAGGGATTTTGGGGGTCAGAGCATTCCATGCAGAAGGAACAGTGAGTGGTGGTAAGGTGGGTGAGCGTTGCTGTGTTCAAGCAAGGAAGAGTCAGGGACAAGTGTGGTTGAACCAGAGTGAGCCAATGGGAGAGAAATAAGACCTGAGGTCACAGTACCCTTTGACCTCAGGTCCAGATCATGCAGGGTATTGAAGGCCACAGGAAGGACATTGAATTTTATTCTGAATGAGAAGAGAAGCCTAGAGGGTTTGAAAAGAAGAATAATCTGACCTGAATTAGACTTTTCAATCTCCTCTCTGCCTCCTGTGTGGAGGATGACTACAGTGGGACAAGGAAGCGAGCAGGAGGCCAGCGAGGAGGCCAGCGCAGCAGTCCAGTGCAGAGGTCGCTGTGGCATCTTGGGCAAAGGAGGTGGTGAGGGAGGCCAAGAGCAGATGGATCCTGGACGTGGGCGGAAAGTGAGTCTGACAGGTTCCCTGACACACTGGAAGTGGGGTGTGAGAAACATCTGTCAAGAGTGACCCCTAGGTGTTTGGCTTATGCTGTGAGAAGGATGGAATTGCCATTTTCTAAGCTGGGGAAGACTCAGGAAGGAGAGGATTTGGGGAGGAAATCAGGAATTTGGCCCATCCCTGTGCCCAGGGCTGGGAATACAGTGGTAAACAAGAGCCATAGTCGCTGCCCTCGTGGAGTTGATAGTTCCAGTGGGAGAGGCAGTTACTGAACAAAAGAGGACAGAAATGATTCTATAACTACAAACTGTGCTCAGTGCCATGAAGGGAAAGGGGCCAGTAGGGAGAATAATGGGGGCAGAGGGCCCTTAGTTTCCACTGGGACCAGGAAAGGCTTCTCTGAGGAAGTGATGGCTAAGCCGACCTGAAAGATAAACAGGTGTCAGCGGGAAGAAGGGGAGGCCAGGAGCTTTCCCTAACCCTGGGCAGGACAGAGCTTGGTACCTTAGACACAGGAGAGACCCCGTTATTGGAGTAAAGGGGAGAGGGTCGTGGCGGGGGAGGGCTCTCCTCCTCCCTCCTTCCTCTCCCTGGCCAGCCTCTGGGGCACCTGGGCGAGCTCCTGGGCTCCTTGGAGCTCAGGGGATGGCCCATCTCTCTTGCCCAGGATCTTAGATGGATCAGGATTCAGGAGGCCTCTTGATTCACAGCCTCGTCAGGTTGCAGAGGGAGGGCCTTTACTGGTGGGCGGAGGCGGCCATGCCCATCAGGGCGTAGCTTTCCATCTGCTTCTGAGGCTCTGTGGGGTCTGTGACCTGTTCTAGGCCCCCCTGAGGGGCTGTTCCTTCCATAGCCTTTTCTCCCCAGAGGCAGCCGAGGCCCACTCACAGGCCGGCACCCCTCTCCCTGAGCCCCGCTGGGGTCAGACTATTCAGGTTCTAAAAGGAGGAGAAGCAACTCGGGCTCAGTGTGTGAGGGTGTGAGGGTAGGGGGATGGGTGGAGGTGGCGGTGGAGGAGAGGGAAGGTGGCATGAGGCAGCATTTTTACGTAGGTGTGTGGACGTGTGGCTTCAGGGTTGTAGAAAAGAAAATATGGAGAAGGAGGACGACAGTAACATTTAGGAGGCGCTCAGGCACCGAGCATATCCCGCGCTGTGTTCATTTAATCTTCACCAAGGCCCCACGTGTGGCTGTTATTCTCTCACAGATGAGGACGTCGGAACTCAGGTTAAGTAACATGCGTGTGTGTGTGTGTGTGTGTGTGTGTGTGTGTGTTGGGGTTGGGGAGGGCTCATCTGGCCTCACTCCTTTCTGTGCTGAAACACGGTGACTTGGTGGAGCAGCTGGGTGGGACCCCGGTTCTCCTGACACCCCTCCCCCTCTGCCCACCACCTGGACCATGGGCGAGTGTGGGCTGGTGTGAATCTCTGGTCTCCCTGACCCAGGGCCGAGGCTCATACATCTGTGCCCCTCACACCATGGGGGAGGCCTGAAGCAGCACCGAAGAAAACAGGAGAGGAAACAGAAGCCGTTTGGGGGAGAAAGTGGCAGGCGTTACTGGAGGCAGGAGGAGAGGGAGAGGATGACCCAGACAAGCCTAGAGTGTTTGGGGTCCCCCCCAGGCACTGGGCCAGGTGGGGCTGGTGAGAGTGAGGAGCGGGCTCTTCCTTTGCAAGGTGTGCGCCAGGGAGCCCGAGGTTGAGGCAAACCTCAGACGCCCGTGTAGAGCTAAGTCTGCTTCTAGGCCTTACCGCTATTTACGAAAATATTTTATCAAAGTAATACGTGCATATGGCTAAAACATGCAATAGCATGGAAGAGGTAATAATGAAGAGCAAGGGTCTCCTCCCATCCCTGCTCCCCAGGGGCGGCTTTACCGGGTCCTCTCTTAGTTCTCTGGTCTTGGGGGAAGTGGCACTGCAGGAGACCCGGTTCCTGAGACGGTGGGTCTGCAAATCCGGCTTTCAGGAGCTCCCCACCAGCTCCCCACAGGGCAGAGCGGCTTTCAGACCTGTGGCTCTGCGTGAATCTCCAGGCCCGATTCTCTGGGCCGCTGTCGCCCTCTCCCAACACCACAGCCGCTTCCCCGAGGGTCACTCCAGCCGGCTTGACTTGGAGCGTGTGGGAAGCCCCTCCAGTCATGCGGGAGCCTCAGAAACGCCCTCATTAGCACACAGCTGAGGCTGGTCAGCAGCCCGGCAGGTTGGATTGTTAATTTGCTGGAAAAGTCCGTCTTTGCGGGGAACCCTGATTCCCTGCAGCCGCTGTCCTCTTGATGCCTCTCTGGCCCACGGGGCTTCTGGGGCTGGCCCTTTGGCGTTTGGCTCTCTTGTTCTGTCTCTGCTGCTTTCCCTCTGTGCTTTTCCTCCTCCTCCTTCTCCTGCCCTCATCGTGCATCCTCCTCTCTCTGGAGGGTGGAGATCAGACTTCTGCGCAGGAGGTTGGGCTCTATTCCCTAAGCCCTGTCAGGCTGCCTTGGGGCCCTGGGAGCCCTGTGGTGATGGAGGGGGAGGTTGGGAGAGATGTGGTAAGAGGAGCCCTCTCCCCGGGCCCCCCGTCCTGGGGACCGCGCTCAGGGAGTTTGGTGTGTCGCTGGAATCTCGACGCCTGTGGTGTGTGAGCCAGAGTATCTAGTTTTGGTTTCACTCTGGGCTGATTTTGCTGTTTTTATGCCCCGGTCTCTAGCTAGGTCTTTAGTGAAAAGCTGTGGGGACAGAAAGGGAAGGCTTGGGTGTCCATGTTTGGGCAGCGCTAAGGGGAATCTGGGACCCTCCCATCCACACATCCAGCCTCATTCTGTCAGCTCTACTCAGTGCGAGACCCCTGCGGGGAGCTTGTCGTGGGCACTCAGAGCTTTCGTGGCCTCTTGGAGGGTCCTCTTTCCTCCTCAGCCTTTGAGGATCATGTTTCTTTTATGAAGGAAGGCAGCAGCTCCCAACAGGCCTGATCTGCTCTGTCCATCACAGCTCCACCCCATTTTCCATGGAGATTCAGACTGTGAAGCCCAGCTCTCTGGGTCCGGCGCATGGTCGCTAGTGTTTACTGAGCTTTTACTTTGTGCCAGCTTCTGTGGACAGCACTTTACGTGCTTTATCACATTTAAACGTTACACCACCACTATGAAGCAGTTACTCTTAATATCACCCCTATTTACAGATGAGGAAACTGAGGCACCAAGGGGGTTAAGTCTTTGGCTCAGGGTAATTTGGCTGGTAAGGAACAGAATTGGGATTCAAACCCAGACAGACTGGTGCCAGAGTCTTGGAGAAGTATGTGTGTGTGTGCACGCGCGTGCAGCTCCCCACCCACAGTGTGGGCCGTCTACTTACCCTCCTGCAGCTCCTCTCCCTGTACGTACGCTCCCAAACTTACTGCATAAAGTCCTTTTGATGACTGGCTTCCTTGAAGTGGACACAGTGAGAGCCCTGTTCCCCCATTCCTCACCCCCTGCCCAGGGCTCTGGGCCTCAGCTCAGAGTGCCAAACGGCCCGGTGGCTGCCAGAGTGGGCCTGGGCCTCACAGGTGAGCAGAGCCATGCCAGGGACAGGCAACGCCGCAGCTGAGGTGCAAACTCAGTCTGGGAGACAGGCCTGTGACCTATCACGAAGGCGCGCCCAGAGCCGCCTGTGAAGACCCACTGGAGAGAGGAAGAAGGTGGCTCTCACGTAGATCTGCAACCTTCTGGTCACAAACCTGGAATGGGAAGAGAGCCATACCCAGGCGGAACCATCTTCTCCCCAGAGGGTTCCACCAAGGGGCTGCTGCTTCGGGGTCCTTCCCGTCACCAGCGGTTTGTGGGAGAAGGGTGAGGAGGGGGATCAGAGGGAAAAGTAGATAGAAATAGGATACAGAGGGGAGGAGGGGAGAGAGGGAGATGGCTGGGCTCACCCAGAGGCCCCCAGCGAGAGGGACAACCCCCTCTTTCTCCAGTGGAGATGTCCCCCTTTGGAAGCCAGCGGGAGGCAGGAAGGCTGCACCGAACCAGGGTGAGATCAGGCTGGCTGGGGTTCCAGACCCCAAAACAGCGGCTGTCTGTGCATGAAGGGGTCTGTGGGGAGCCCTGGGGGATCACCAGCAGCTCCTCCAGCCTGCAGCCCAGCTGGTAATCCCCCTGCCCAGGGGCCAGCGGGGCTCCAGCTGAGGAGGGCTGCTGGCAGAGGCTGCCTCTGCAGATCTCTGGCTTGATCTTCCCCACACATTGAAACCATCAGGCCCGGCCCTCCGACTGCAGCCTGCCTAGCTCTGTCAGTAGAGACACTGTGCTTTCATGCAAACCAGGCCTTCCCTCCTCCAGGTCCCCACTCGGGGAAGGGGGGCAGTGAGCACAGCCTCACTGATGCTCCCCTGCAGCGAATTTCAACACTGTTTAACTTTTGTCCCCAGTTTTGCTCTCCTCTCTGAAGTGTTTGTGGGGCCATCTTCCACTCCGGCCCCTTGCTCCACCCTCATCCTCCAAAGGGAATTTTAGTCGATGCTGCAGAAATGGGGAGTTTTGGGAGCCCCAAAGTGCAGAGCTGCTCCGTCAAAGCGGCGAGCACTCTTCACTGCCTCATGTTCTGGGGCAGCGAAATCAAAGGCAAACCCTGAATTCCTCTTGCTCACGGCCAATAAAAACCTTGCTTCAGTGCCGGCTTCCTCTGCCTGAAATCAGATATCCTAGTAATAAACAAGTCCAAAAGGCCAGGAAAAGCTCTTGCTTCTTTCTTCTGATTAGTTTTTCTTCCTTTAAAAAAACACTTCTCTGCTATAACAGGATGCCTGCCTCAGAAACTTGAGCACAGAACTGCGCCCTCTCCTGCCCTGCACCCCCCATTCCAGAATCCTTACCCCCTGGGCTCCTGCAGGCGAGGGTGGGGCCGGCTTCTCCAACACTCGCTGGTTTAGCTCAAAGGCAGGTCAAAGGGGGTTGGGGAGACTGGGGCTTGCTGCCTGGCGAGCTGGCTGCCGGTTTACAGGGAGAGCTAGGGTCGCTCAGCCTTTGGTTGCTGGTGGCCGTCAGAAATGGGAAAATGGAGTTAGGACAAATTGGGACCATACTTTTCTAAGGCAATCCTTTTGACTTCCTCTCTATGTACCACGGGGCTGTAAAAAGCCCAGCACCGTGGTTTGTGTGTTGAATGGACAGTTGAGAAAGCCGGACAAGGTGGCTCTTGAGGCATCAGAGGGCTGGTAGGGCAGAGGACTAGGGGTTTTGCCTCCGGGGGCTGGCCTTGCCTAGCACACCATCCCTTCCTGGCCTTGTCCCGTCCCAGGGTAAGCGTGTCTCCACATGTGTCCTGCTGTGGAGGAGGGCCCTCCCTGATGTGTGACATCCCCCCACCCCCCAAATAGGTTTTTAAGTGACTTTGCTGGCAGAGATGCTATTCTATTTGTTTTTCCTTCTGACACTATCTCTCCGGAGAGTTTCTGGTCAAGAGAATTATGTCGAGGCTGCAGATTGCAAGAGAATTGCGTCTAATGGGGAACAGACAGACAAGACACCTTTCATGTCCAGCCAAGTTTTTCCCCCACTCTTTCTCTCTCTCTCCCAACTTCTCATCTTCCCTTTTTGGCTTCAAAGTTGGCCCTAGTTTGTGCTAGTTTCTTCGGTACAGCCGGTGAATAAGGTCACACATTGATTTTATTTTGGAGATTGGCAGCTGGGTCGAGCTTAGCTCTGAAGCTGGAGTGCAGCACGGCCCGGCTGGAGCCCGGGTGGGGGTGTGCACTGTCACGGAGCGCAGCCAGCCAGCTAGCGGAAGGAACTGTTTGAGAAGACACTCTGGCACTCGAAGGGTGGCTTCTGCCCCTTTGTGATCTCAAAGCTCAGGAGCTTGGGCTTGTAAAATTTATTTGAAATACAAGAAAGATGCCAAAAGTCCCTCCCTCTGTCCCCACTACATGCCACTTCAGCTCATCTGTGCTGGACTTTATAGGAAAACAAGTGTTAGCTCTGAGGTCCCTTGGGACCTTGAAGAGCTTATAGGAGAGGACCTTAAGTCCTCTGTCTTGGAAGGAGCTACTCAACCACACACAGCCACGGTATATGCCCCTTGATGCAAGGTGGGTGGAAAAGAAAGCCCTTTTCTATACCTATGTGATTCTTTTTTTTTTTTTTTTTTTAAAGATTTTATTTATTTTTTTTTCCCCCAAAGCCCCAGTACATAGTTGCCTGTCACAGCTGCACATCCCTCCAGCTGCTGCATGTGGGACGCGGCCTCAGCATGGCCGGAGGAGTGGTGCCTCGGTGCACACCCGGGATCCGAACCCGGGCCGCCGGCAGCGGAGCGCACGCACTTAACCGCTAAGCCACGGGGCCGGCCCTATATCTATGTGATTCTTGAGAGGAGAAGGCAGATAAGCAAGACATCTGGGTGGACAGTTTGGATTCTTTTACCCTTAGTCACAAGGCTGATGTAATAGATTCAACTGATTTCATGGTAAAGACAGTCACAGTTCCCAGAGCAAATCATTTCCAATTGCACCGCCGATGACATCCACCCTTATTGCAGCCCTTCAGGAACTGGTGGGCGAGTCCTTTCTCCTTCAGAGCTTGGGTGGGAAGCACAGGGCCATTTCTTTTTGGAAGGACAAAGATGTCCTGGATTTTAAGAATGTCCCATTTGACCTCATTCCTCCTTGTCTAGCCTTGGGGAACAGAATTCACTGCCAGTCTAGCTCTAAGAGAAAGGCACGGTTCCGCACACTCTGAACCTTGCAGCCTTTGTGCAGGATAATTTCAATCTGGGGGAGGAATGTGCGTGTTAGGGAAACAGGATGACAGAAGGGGAAGGCTAATTCCACTCAGGCTGGGTTTAATTCTCTCTTTCCTTCTCATCCCCACTGCTTGTGGTTTCAAGTTGTGTTTTGCATTAAGATGTGTTAGTTCTCAATAATTACAATAGACTAAAAACATACATTTCTTTTATGGTAATAAGGTTCTCTTAAATTAAGCCTATAAACCTAAGAATATGCCGCTTACCGATTATTAAAGCTGGAGACAACAGAATATACAAGTGTGGCGTGGTGACCAAGCTCTCGACCAGGAATCAAGAGATCAAGAGTCTTGAGTTTATTTCTTGTCCTGCCACCAACCCACTGGAACCTCAGACAAGGGGCACATGGAACCTTCTCTGGCTCCCAGGGCCCTGCCCACAAAGGGATACCGCCAGATAGCCAAAATTACCGTACCAACTGTTGTGAGGGCAAAATGAGGGAATACAGGGAATAGTGCTTTATGAGCCATGAATGTCCAAAAAAGGGATCAGGGGAGTACAATTTGAGTATTAAGAGGTCTCTTTGTTGAGAGACACAGTAGTCGGAATCTATGAGGAACTTTCTGAGGACAAAGCCTTGAAGGATTATTGGGAGCCTTGGAGCATCCAAACCTTCTGGCAGACAAAGGCCCAGGCCATTGACAGCACCATCAGAGAGACAGCTAGGCCGCAGAGGCGGGTCTGACCCAGGACAGCATGCTGCCGTCACTCAGCAAACTTGCCGTGGATGCTGTCACCGCTTTGATGAAAATCTGGGAGTGTGCAAACCTGCTGCCTGTCACGTGTAACAGAAGACAACCTCACAACTTTGCTCAATTTTCTCTCCGCAAGAGGTCCTGGCCTGTTGTGGGTACACTGGACAGATATACTTTGGTGTCCTTTCCTTTTCTGGGTTTGACTTGCCCTCCCCTGGCTTGCCTCCTCCTTCGTTGTTCTCCATCTCTAAGAACAAGCCAGAGAGCTCTTTATCGCTCAGACCACTTGACTTCTCCCAAAGGGGTCCCCAGGCACCCTCAGAACTCTCAGCTGAGTTAGCAAAGAAATGAGGTATCTAAAGAATCTAGTGGCTCTGCAAGAGTCAGCCACATCACTTGGGAACATGGTGTCCTCTCTGGCCTGTTTCTGCCCTATAAAGAGGGAGACTAAGGGTGAGAGTCCCTTCCAGGGTAACTTGGGGACGGGAGCCCCAGTGCTGGCCCCTCAGGTTAGCCAACGTCGCCATCTAGAGGCAACTTCAAAGAGTTTCTTGCAGCAAGAGGTCACCTTTCTTTGTAATTCCTGAAATGCCAACATATCATTTTCTTGCCCTTCGAAGTCCAGAATCTCTCTCATCCCCGGCGTGGCTTTAGCTGCATCTGTAACCCAAGGGAAGCCCTTCTCCAAAGCCAGCTGGTACTAGGCCAGTGCCAGGCATTGCTGCTTCCTGTCGCTTCCAATGCCCGCCTCCTGTTATACTCACTCACTACGCCAGATCGTAAAAAATAAATCTTTTAATTGCTTTGTAATTGGCATAGATGGTATAATTCAAACTCACATCTTTATTTAATAGACTTTGAAATATCACACTATAGCTTTGATTCAAACAGTACAGGAATCATAATGGTTTAAGTTTTACAAAATTACAGTCGGCAGCAGCATCATGTTCTGAAAGTTATTTCATAAAGTTACAGACTGGGGCTTGAATAAATAAGAGAAAAAACTCTCTAGAAAATAAACGACCCAGACTGAAGTCGTCTGTCATGACTATCTGAGAATTGTGCTTTCCGGTTTTTGAAGATCTTGCTACTTTATTAACAATCAAGAAGAGTTGCAGGGGCCGGCCTGGTGGCACAAGTGGTTAAGTGCGCGCGCTCCGCTTTGGTGGCCCGGGGTTCACCGGTTTGGATCCCGGGCGCGCACCGACGCACTGCTTGACAAGCCATGCTGTGGCAGCGTCCCATATAAAGTGGAAGAAGATGGGCACGGATGTTAGCCCAGGGCCAGTCTTCCTCAGCAAAAAAAGAGGAAGATTGGCAGATGTTAGCACAGGGCTCATCTCCTCACAAAAAAAAAAAAAAAGAGTTGCAGAATTCTGACTTATAACTCTAGTGGGGAGAAGAGGCTGTAATGTGCCTGGAAAGTGTTCTTCAGGGACAGGAACTCAAAACTAGGCCTTGTTGCAACTGTGCGTCTGAACCAGCTTTGGAGGAATCTCATTTCTGGGGAGCCACCAGACTCATTGGTCTTTGATAAGAAATCACCATAAAGAGGATTATAGTGGAGGAGACATCATATCATTAAATCCTCATCACTGCAGGGCCAGAGAAAAAAGCTCCAAGTCCTGTCTCTTCAGGAGGATGAGAGAAAGACCCCAGTGCTGTTTATGGGACCTCTGTAAATTTCATTGGTCACCACGGGGTGACCAATGACACAAACTCTCATGAGCAACAATTTGGGTTTGGAGCATTACTTGAGCCATTCCCTGAAGGTACCTGTACTGCCATTCCAGAGCAGAGACAAATATCTACTGGGTGGGGTGGAAATTGGGGCAGAAATCCCCTTGCTCCAGAGCAGCAAAGACAATTACTCAGCAGGATTTGTAGGAAGCTGGTAACCAGAGGGAATTTTCTGTTATAGTGGATGACAAATGGGAATCCCTCTGACTTCGGTGATTATAGGCATCAGTGACCAAATTTTAACCTGGAAAATGCATTCACAGGTTGGTTGGTGCTCCTGGGCAGGATTCAATACTGAACTCAATTCCTGGCTATTGATTTGGTATCTGTCCTGCAGAAATGACTGGATTTCTCAAATCTAATCCAAAGCCACTGCTTGAAGGGAGCTTCCTATGTCAGACACTAAATACAGACGATTTCCATCACCACACAGAATCGTCAGCACTCGTCTCTGCAGGTCACAAGGACAGCATGGCTGTGCTGTGACATAGGGAATATTAAATGAAAATCCAGGTGAGTGCATAGTTAGTCTTCTGGACAGGGCCCCCTGGCTCTCAGCCACTGCTGGTTGTTCCCTGGCTCAATGTGCCTGTGCCACCTCCACTGGGGCCTTCAGGTCTGCTGAGGACTTGTCTAAGGCAGGCTTCTTTGAGTAATCTCGCTCGCCAAAAATGGTGCTTCCTATTCGGACATTCGTAGACCCTACTTCAATCTGTGGGAAAGAAGAGAAAGTACTGAGGACTGAGTTCAAAATAATGAAATGCAGCAAATGTTGAAGCTGTGCCTCTCATTCTGGTTCTCCAAGGGTTTCTATGAAGAACAATGATAATGCAGCTGAAGAGGACAATGGGGCAGTGGTTCTCCTTGGGGGCAATGCCACCTCTGAGGGGGTGTTTAAGAAATAAGTAAGGACTTCTTTGGCTTTCACAGTGATTGGGGAATATGACTGGCATTTGGTTGGGTGGGGCCGGGGATGTCGGACGTCTCCAGTGTGTGGGACACAGGGGCACGATGAAGAGGTGTCTTCAGCCCACAGACCTTTCTCAAGTTCCATAGTCAGGTACACGAAGAAACCTCCTTATAATTGTCTGGGCACAGGCTCTAATTCCATTTTACTTATAAACACAAAGTATTTTTGCACTGTTTTAATATAAACAATTTTCCAGGAATGTGACTACTGTATACACAGAGGGAAGTTTATACTTTGATTTTTGGAACGTTATCAAGTTATTTACTGTTCCAGAAAATCATGTATTTGAGTTGCCAATACAGCACACCTATCGGGAGATATTTATAGCTGTCGCATTCATAGTGAATCTACACGTAAGATTAAACTTCAGCCTACTTCCATACGACTTACTGTCATATATCCATGCCCAAGCATTTACATAGCGAAATGCCTTTAAAAAATATTGTTTCATTTCTTACTTTCCTCTATATTCCGTTTAGAGAATTATATTGAGTTTTAAAAAATTATGTGTCAGGCTATAATTTCTACACATTTCATTTCAAAAAAGAAGGGGGCTGGGGGACAGTAGAACAGTTGAGAACCACTGCTATTGGGTGCCTTATTGCTACAACGAGGCATTTCAAAGGTTTCTCCAAAACTGATTCTTGCTGTGGCCTTTTGGACTCTGGCCATGAGGCAGAAAAGGGCACTGGAGGGACACTTACTGCATGTTGGAAGTCCATGGACATGCCCATGCTCAGCTCAACCTGGTCAGCAGGGATGCTCAGCCTTTTACACAGCTCCTCCCGGAGGGACAATAACACCTGACAGGAAGACAAGTATGACACCTATTTTATTCCTGCCTTCTCTAAGGATGCCTGAAAGTGGCTGAATATGAACATTTCTGACAAAGATTATTTATTCCTCATGGTTTCAAGGTTTGTCAAAATTGCCAGAAGTTACCAAAAGGGTTTTTAGCAAACTGTCCTACTTTCAAGAAAACGAGCAGTCACTGGAGAGGAAGAAAGAGCTCATCTCCTCTAAAGACTGTTTTTGCCAGGTTCACATTGAGGTGAGACAGGTCTGTGGGTTTTGGGAACCTGTTCTTTCCTCAGGAGGAGAGTTCAGGGGACGGTTACAATATCTGCCAGGCAAGGTCTGGAATGTCTCTGAAGTTGACCACAGCAGCCAGCCCTGCGACAGCATTTCACTGAGACGCTTCTTCAGCACGTGAACAATCCCCCAGCCCAGGCCCCCATACCTGGAAGTCCGGATTTGGTCCTTGACTAAGATCATGCCCAAAGCTTCCTATGGTCATAAGCCCCACGAATTCCAGGCTGGGGCACTTGGTGTTGATGTGTTCCACCATGGCTACTGTCTCTGAGGGCAGGAGGCCATGTTTACCTTCACAAACAGAAACAGAACACACTTACACCAAAATGCTTTAAGTAGCCAGAGGAAGGCTCCATTTTCATCGCTTCCTTATAATAGAGGAGATGACTCTCAGACAAGAGGACTTCTTGAAAGAACTTATCTCCAAGACGTAAAGAGTAACTTTACATCTGAAGTCTTTGTCTATGTTGCTCCCCTTCTGGGCAGGTTCTGACTTTCTCAAGGAAAGACGTATAAATTAGATTCTCTTTACTCTATTTCAATATCTGAGCTGAGAACAGCTAGAGTAAAGGGAAAAGAAAAGAGACTGCTTTTCTTGGGACACCAAGAAGATTCACCAAATCCAAAATGCTGGGTTAACCTGAGAATTCCTTTTCCAAATCTGGTATTTCTATGGTTTTATTAATTTATTAGAATTATAAACAATTTAAAATAAAGTACATATTACACAGTTTTGACTATGTATTTACAAAATTTAACTGAACTTGCTAATTAACTAGAGGAGGAATCTGCAGCAAATGATTATTTGACATGCAGTTACAAGGATTATTGATACTGTCTTTCCCTCAATTATCAAATGGAGATGCCAAGAACATTCACTTCAATCATTAATTAGAGCAGGTGATAGCTAATTATCAAGAAATGACATAATAAAGACTTGATCTGGAGTCGATTTCAGATTTACCTATATTGATAATGTAGTGTAGTTATAATCTAGGTGTATGTGTATATAATGATAATTCTTAAAATTTACTAAATATTTATGTGCCAGGCACATATGCCAAGTCCTCAGAGCTTCTATTTAACACAATAACTCTAGGAAGTAAGTACTCTTATTATCTCCATTCTAAAGATGAGGCAACTGAGGCACAGGCAGGCTAAGTACATTTTCCCAGGTCACACAAGTAGGAGTGGCGGAACTGGGATTTGAACCTAGGTGGCCTGACTCCAGGGCCTTTACTGTGTTCCTTCATGCTAAGATTTGGTGAATACTGGGGCTCTGATGGTTGTAAGCAAACGAGTGATCTGTAAACACCTCAACAGCTAACAGGTAAGATGTGCAGGGTTCTACCTTTACCCGCATTCCCACATCAATCCACACAACACCCTGTGAAGTAGGTACTATGATGATATCACTGCCAGACAAGGAAACTGAGGTCCAGAGAGGTTAAGTGACTTACCCAAGGTTACACAGCTGGAAAGTGGCAGAGCACAAACCCAAGGTCTGTCTGACTTTGAAGCCCATGCTCTGTTCACTGTGTTACACTGTTAACCCAAGCCCTGTAAAGCTATTCACTGACTGGCGCCCACAGTGATTTTTCTTCTATTCTTTCCCAATTAACACTAAATAATTTTTTTAAGACCTGAGAAGTATTATACATGTAACTCTGCAATCTCTTTCAGGAGTGATGGTGACTTCTGGGAATTTCCAGGAGATCAGAGCCACAATGCCCTTCTGGATTCCCCTGTCTGCCTCCTCAAAAATTAAGAAATAACAAATCATGATGTATTAAAGAATACCATGTAGACTGGCTTGGATGTCACTGTGCAATCTGGATCCTCCATGAAACAGCTTTCTTAAAGGCCTGTGATTTCCTTCTATAACCCTAGCCCTCAGAGACTCAGGCTAGCCAGTCTGCCCAAGCCTCAGCAATCCTTAGGGAAGAAAAAGCTACAACGCAGGTCTGGTCACTTACTCTCCTCTCCACTGGTGTTAATCTGGACCATAACCTTTAACCTCTCAGGAGAACCTTTTTTCTGCCACGAACTGTTCACTTTGTCTGCCAGCTTCACAGAATCCACTGTTTCCAGCATGGAGAGATTGGGGACAGCTGTAACGAGAAAGAGGCAAGGTAATTCTTCACTCATCCTACCGAGCACATAACATACAAATCTTTTCTTGGTAGATGGAAAAACAATTTCCCAGGAAAAGAAAAAGGCAGTTACCTTTCAGTTCTGCTAAGACTTATGTGACAGTTTTACTACATATAAGTTTGAATGTCAGAGCATTTTCGAATCAGACATCATTGAACGTCAGATTCATCTTCACTGTCTAATCAGCGAAGACGAATAAGGAGAGGGAAAGGCTGACACAGTACAGTCAGGCAGCGTATGGACCCGCCCACTTCAAGAAGCTGATAACTGCAGAGATTCCTTAAAGCAGGCTTGATCTGATTGAGGCTCAGTTCAAACGGAGAGAAACAGGTCAAGATGACAATAAAGATTGGATAATCAGCGGAAGCCAAAGTGCTCCCTGGTCTGATGTTGCCATGTTCTTAAACCTTCTGGGATGGGGGTGCCTTATTCAACAAGGACATCAGAATGACCCGAACACGGAAGCTGAGTGAGACACTGAGGTCATCAAAACCATCCTCTTTTCCAAAGATGCACGTGAAATGAAGTATTTGTCTTGCTTTACATAAATAACAACAACAAATAGAAGCAACATCAGCAGTTTACTTTCACTGAACACTGGAGTCCTCCAGGCAATGTGCTGATCACTTTATATGCATTACTTCTTTTTAATCTTCACCACAGTTCACAAAGCACTATTATCTCCATTTTATAGATGGGGAAACTGAGGCTTAGAAAGGATAAAGTTTATTCTAGTTTACAAAATTAACAAATATTAGAGCTGTGCTTTGAACTAGCACAGCGAGTTGGGCAAACTGACTCCATTCTTAATACGGAATTTGAGCTCAGGCTACTTTGTTTAAAAAAACATATTTTAAAAAATGACAAAAAGTATACATGCTTGATGTGAGCAATATAGAAATATATGTAGTAAAAAGTCAAAGCCTCTCACCCTAGAGGCTACCATTATTACCTTTGGGATGAGGATTTTTCCAGACTGATTTTAGTATATCTCCATCCAATCAAACATACACACCCCAAATGTATAATTTGTTATCCTTCTGTTTTTCTAATAACACATAAATTGGATCACACTATGGGGCCGGCCCCGTGGCTTGGTGGTTAAGTGAGCGCGCTCCACTGCTGGCGACCCGGGTTCGGATCCCGGGCTCGCACCGACACGCTGCTTCTCCGGCCATGCTGAGGCCGCGTCCCACATACAGCAACTAGAAGGATGTGCAGCTATGACATACAACTATCTACTGGGGCTTTGGGGGAAAAAATAAATAAATAAAATCTTAAAAAAAAAAAAAAAAAAAAAATTGGATCACACTAAATGTTCTATGGGCTGCTTGCTTCCAGTTAGCAATGTATAGGGGAGATTTTCCACATCAGTACCAAAGATCTGCTGGTGCTTTTTAATAGCTGCAGCATTCCACAGAACAGATGATCACAATTTACTTAACTATTCCTCTTGTTAATGGACATTAGATTGTTTCTTGTTTTTTACTACAAAAACAAAGCTTAAACATAGATCTTTGTGCATATATAATACAAGTATTGCCATAGAATACATAGTCCTAGAACTGAAATTACTAGTCAAGGAGGAAGTACAATTTAAATTGTGTTAACTATTACCAATCCAAAAAACCTGATTAATTTAGAATCTTCCTGGCAAAACGTGGGAGTGCTCATTTATTCACACTCTCAAAACACTGGATATTAGTAGTCTTCATCATTTTTTACAAATCTGATTGGTGAAAAGGAGAATTTATTATTTTATTTTGCATTTCTCTTACTGAGGTTGAGTATTTCTCATTTGACTACTGGCCTTTTGTATTTTTGTCCCTGTGAATTGCCTGTTCTTAGTTTTTGCCTACTTTTTCTTACAGATTAAAAAAAATTATAGCTCTTTATGTATTCAGGACATTAATTTCTTCCCCTTCTAGAAACTATTATTTTTCTACTTCTGTGTGCTTCCCTTTAGCTTTGACATACAGAAAGCTTTAATTTTTGTGTAATCAAATATACTAGTTGTTTCTTTTACGGTTTCTAGACTGTATGTTTTACTTTGGCCTTTTCCTAGCCTGAGAAAATAAAAATATTTTCCTATATTTTCTTCTAATACTTTTATAGTTTTGATTTTCAAGTTAAGATTCTTTAATCTAGCTGGAATTTGCACTGTAACGAAGGGAATCTAATTTAATTATTTCTCAAATAAAAAGATGATTGTCCTGCTGCCATTTATTAAGTATAAATAGGCTCCCTACTTCTCCCACATCCAATATGAAATGTCTTTTAAAAACAATATACTAGACTTCTGCTTCCAGACTAGATGGGAGTACAGGGACCAGATTTACGGTCGACTTGAACAACCAAATGGACAAAATATATGAAAGACACATGAAACAATGGTTTACAAGAACTGGATATCAAGCAGTGAAAGACAATGAGCCCAGAGGATGAGAAACAAATGAAGTTAGCCCTACGACTGCCCCAGGTTACGGCCTGGAGTTTCTAGAATGTGGCACAGGGAAGGGGAACACAGGGACAATGTGGTGGACTCCAAGTTGAGCAGATGAGCTGAGAGTCTGGAAAGACTAAGGCAGCTGGAGTTCACAGGATGCAATGTGAGAGAAGACAGTGCTACACACAGAGAACACTGGTGATCTGTAAAGAGCTCCCCTCCGGTATTCAGCTGGGTACTGATCAGTGTGTGCATGTGAGGAATTACCAAGGCCGGGGAAAGCACTATTTGAAAGGACGAGAAGAGACAGTGCCTGATGCTCACACAGGGCATGGAATAGTGCCTATCCCCCCCAGTCAGGCTGGAACACTCAAGATTCATGGCGCACTGGGTAGAGTCCACAGAAGGGTCTTGCCTCTGTAGTGGGGAATTAACCCTCTAGTGAGCTCTGCTCATCACATCAGCTAATCTTAAAAGCAAGAACTAGAAGGATCAAACTGTTCCCAAGTAATTTAACTGTATTCCAGAACAAAGCTCAAGAATATTTACAGGAATACAAAAATGGCCAGCACCCAGCAAGATAAAATTCACAATGTTTGGCTGTCCAAACAAAAATTACCAGGCGTTTAAAAAAGTAGGAAAATATGATACATAATGAGTTAAATTAATCAATTGAAGCTGCTCCAGACCAACAAAGATGACAGAATCAGTAGACAGAACATTAGAACAGTTATCATTAACTGTGTTCCATATGTTAAAAAAAATAGAGACATGGAAAATATAAAAAAGACCCAAACTGAACTTCTAGCATGAAAACTACAATGTATGAGATGAAAAATTCACTGATGGGATTAACAGTAAATTAGACAATGCCAAAGAAAAGATTAGTTACCTTGAAGAGATTATCCAAAATGAAACATAGAGAAGAAAAAAAATCATAAAAATCAACAGAGCATCAGTGAGCTGCGAGATCATGTCAATTAGTCTAATAGGTAATTGGAGTCCCCAGAGGAGAAGAGAAGGGGGGAGGCAGAAAATATATGTGAAGGAACAATGGTTCAGAAATTTCTAAACTTGATGAAAACTATAAACCCACAGATCCAAGAAGCTCAACGAGCCCCAAACACAAGAAACGTGAAGAAAATTACACCAAGGCACATCATAATCAAACTGCTCAAAACCAGTGATAATGAGAAAATCTTAAAAGTAGCCAGAGGAAAAAAACCGTGTTACATACTGAAGAAAAAAGATAACGATGACATCATATCTCTTATTGGAAACAATGCAAGTGAGAAGGTCTTTTAAAAAACAGAAAGATTTTAAAATTTCATCTTTAAAATACTCAAAGAAAATACTGTCAACCTAGAATTCTACAGTCAGCAAAAATCTCTCTCAAAAATAAAGGTGAAGGAGCAAAAAAATTCAATGGGAAAGAATGAAGTTGGACCTCTTCCTTAGACTATACCTAAAAATTAACTCAAACAAACCCAAATGTGAGAGCTAACACTATAAAACGCTTAGAAGAAAATCTTCATGACCTTAGATTTCTTAGCTATGACACTAAAAGCACAAGCCACAAAAAACAGAAAAATTGGAGTATATTAAAATGAAAAACTTTTGTACTACAAATGATACCATCAAGAATGTGAAAAGACAATCCATGGAATGGGAGGAAATATTTGCAAATCATATATATGATAAAGGACTGCTACCCAGAATATATAGAGCACTTTTACAACTCAATAATAAAAACACAAATAACCCAATTAAGAAATGCACAAAGGATTTGAATAGATATTTCTCCAAAGAAGATATACTAGTGGCCAATAAGCACATGAAAAGATGTTCAACTTTATTAGTCATTAGGGAAATGCAAATGAAAACCACAATAAGATACCATTCTACATATTTTTTATGACTCCATTTAATCTCCTTTGCTGACTTATTAGCTCTAACTATTGTGTTATTTTATTGGTGCTTTAGAGTTTAACTTATCACAGTCTACCTTTAAGTGGTGTTATACCACTTCACACATAGTTTAAGAATTTTATAATAGTGTACTTCTGTTTTCCCCTTTCCATCCTTTATGCTGTTGTTGTCACACATTTTACTTTTATGTGTTATGAATCCCACAAAACATTATTATTTTTGTTTATATAATAACATATAATAATAAAACAATAGAAAAAATAAATGAAACTAAAGGCCGTTCTTTGAGAAGACTGATAAAATTGATAAACCTCTAGCCAGATGGATTAGGAAAAAAAAGAGAAGACACAAATTACCAATATCAGGAATGAGCTGACATCACTACAGATTCTACAGATATTAAAAGGATAATAAAGAAATATTATAAACAATCTTATACTCATAAATTGATTAACTTAGATGAAAGGGACCAACTCTTTGAAAGATACAACAAAGTAACAAAGCTCACCCAAGAAGAAACAGATTATGTGAACAGCCCTATGACTATCAATGAAATTGACACTACGGTTAAAAACCTTCCCACAAAGAAAACTCCAGGCTTCACTGGTGAATTCTACTAAATAGTCAAGGCAGAGATAATACCAATTCCACACAAATTCTTCCAAAAGATTGAAGAGGAGGGAATACTTTCCAATTCATTCTATAAGGTCAGCATTACCCTGATACCAACCCGCCAAAAAGATATTACAAAAAAACTACAGACCAATGTCCTTTGTGTATATAATATAGATGCAAAAATTCTAAGCAAAATTTAACAAATCAAATGCAACATTATATTAAAAGGATAATAACTTCATGACCAAATGGGTTTATCCCCAGGAATGCAGAGTTGGTTTAACATTTGAAAATCAATCACTGTAATTCAACATGTTAACAAACTAAAAAAGAAAAACCATATGATCATTTCAGTAAACTCAGTAAATGCATTTGACAAAATCCAACATCTATTCCTGATAAAACCTCTTAGCAAACTAGGATTAGAAGGGCAATTCCTCCTTCTGATAAAAGACATCTATGAAAAACCTACATGTTCACTCTCAGCACTCCTATTCAATATTGTATTGGAGGTCTTTGCTAATATAATAAGGCAAGAAAAAGAAATAAAACCATCCAGATTAGAAAGGAAGAAGTAAATTGTCTTTATTCATAGATGACCTAACCGTCTATGTAGAAAATTCTATGGAATCTAGAAACAAAAGCTACTAGAATAAGCTAGTTTAGCAAGGTTGCAGGATACAAGATGAATACACAAAGATCAACTGTATTTCTATATATTAGCAACAATCAGAAACTGAAGTAATAGCATCAATAAACGGCATCAAAATTATGAAAAACTTAGAGATAAATCTGTCAAAAGATAAGGAAAACCTCTACAATGAAAACTATAAAATATTACTGAGAGAAATTAAAGAAGACCTAAATAAATTCTGAGCTATATCTTGTTAATGTGTTGGGAGATTCAATATTTTTAGTATGTCTAAATGTTCCCCAAATGGATCTATAGATTCAATACAAACCCAATAAAAAAGCTGGCAGGAATTTTGATTTTATTTTTGGTAGAAATTGACAGGTTGGTTTACATGGAAATGCAGAGGTTCTAGAATAGCCAAAATCACTTTGAAAAAGAAGAACAGGGCTGGCCCTGTGGCTTAGTGGTTAAGTGCGTGCACTCTGCTGCTGGCGGCCTGGGTTCGGATCCTTGGTGCGCACTGATGCACTGCTTCTCCGGCCATGCTGAGGCCGTGTCCCACATACAGCAACTAAAAGGATGTGCAGCTATGACACACCACTATCTACTGGGGCTTTGGGGGAAAAAAATAAATAAAATAAAATTATAAAAAAAAAAAAAGAAGAACAAAGTTGGGAGCTAACAGTACTCAATTTCAAGCATTATTATAAAGCTCCAGTAAACCAAAACAGCATGCTATCAGTGTAAGGCAGAAAAATAGATCAATGGAACAGAGTAGACAGTACAGAAAAAAACCCATGGATATCTGATTTTTGACAAAGGTGCAAAGGAATGCAACGGAAAAAGGACAGCCTTTCCAACAAATAGTGTTGGAACAACTGGATACTCATATGCAAAAAAATGAACTTGGATCCATACCTTGTACCATCTGCAAAAATTAACTCAAAATGAATCATGAAGCTTAATATAAAACTGAAAACTATAAAACTGCTAGAAGAAAACATAGGAGAAAATCTTTGTGACTTTAAGATAGGGAAAGATTTCTTAGACACACCACCAAAAGCACATTCTATGAAAATGTAAATTAATAAACTGGACTTCATCAAGTTAGAAACTTCTGCTCTTCAAAAGACACTGTTAGGAGAATGAAAAGACAAGCAATAGACTGGGAGAAAATATTTGTAAAGCATATATCTGATAAGGGACTCACATCCAGAATATATAAAGAACTCTTTTGCCTCAAAAGTAAGAAAATCCAATTAGAAAACAGGTAAAAGACTTTAATAGACACTTCACCAAAGATAAACAGGTGCAAACTTCCGAAAAGATGTTCAATATCACTAGTCATTAGGGAAATGCAAGGACACCACCGCATACCTATTAGAATGGCTAAAATTAAAAGACTGACCATATTAAGTGTTGACAAGGATGTGGAGGAACATGAACACTGCTGGTGAGAATGTAAAATGGCATGACCACTTTGGAGGCTAGTTTGGCAGTTTCTTAAAAAGTTAAACATACATAATGGGTATAGAGCTTCAGTTCTGCAAGATAAAAAGAGTTCTAGAGATGGACAGTAGTGATGGTTGCAAACAATGTGAGTGTACTTAATGCCACTGAACTGAATATTTAAAAATGGCTAAGATGGTAAATTTTATGGTTATATGTATTTTACCAGAATTTAAAAAAAACTTAAACATATATTTATTATGTGATTCAGCCATCCTACTCCTAGGGATTTATTCCAAGAGAAAAGGAAAAGTCCATACAAAGACTTATAACAATTTTATTTGTAATAGCCAAAAATTAGAAGCAACTCAAATGTCCATCAGCAGGTGAATGGATAAACAAATAAAAAGGAGTAAACCACTGATACACATCTCAACACGCTGAACCTCAAAATAATTACGCTGAGTGAAAGAAGTCAGATACACCAAAACACATACTTTGTGATTCCATTTATATAAAACTCTTAAAAATGTATGGGCCGGCCCCGTGGCTTGGCGGTTAAGTGCATGCACTCCGCTGCTGGCGGCCCGGGTTCGGTTCCCGGCTGCGCACAGACGCACTGCTTCTCCGGCCATGCTGAGGCCGCGTCCCACATACAGCAACTAGAAGGATGTGCAGCTATGACATACAACTATCTACTGGGGCTTTGGGGGAAAACTTAAAAAAAAAAAAAAAAAAAAGTAAAGCCCGCTGTAGTGACAGAGAGCAGGTAAGCAGTGCTGGAGGAGGGGAAGTCGGGCAGAGTGGGAGGGAGGGGCTACAAAGGGGCAGGAGGAAGCTTTTGGGGGTGATGGATATGTTCGCCATTTTAACTGTTGTGATGGTTTCACAGGTGCAACCATATGTCAAAACTTAGCAAACTGTACACTTTAAATATGTGCAATTTACTGTAAGTCAGTTATACTTCAGCAAAGCTGTTTAAAAAAAAAATACAGGCTATTTTAATTTTGACAGCTTGAGAGAATTAAGTATTCAGTTACTCAAGAAGATCTCCACACATTGTTGTCATGCAGTTAAATCTGTTTTATTTATTTTTTAATTATTATTATAATAAAGTTAATTCTTAATTTTACTTTACTGTACGTATTTCACTGTATATTGTATTTTATTATTATATATTGTATTTATTTTATTGTGTTTTATTTATTGTAGTCTTTTACTTAAAGGGAAAAGGACAAAAACATCTCCTTTGCTAGCTGAAAAATTTTATGGGATGCAATTTATTTGAAAGACCACGAAATAATACCTAACACAAGGTAGGGTAGGTTTCCAAGTATATATATAACCCAGTCAGTGATGAATTCATTCTGTTCTTGGTATGGTGTTTCCTCCTTATATTAAGAACTAATATTTCTTTCCCCAAAGAAACTCCAAAACACAAATGGTGAACTAGGAATATTCTATAAGCTGTTCTCTTTTCCACAGAAGGTAGTATAAGTGATACAACGATAGAGAAATTTTGTCTTCACATTTAGAGTTTTATCTTACCCATCAATTTGTTGACATTCTGTTTCTGTAGGTGGCCAATGAAGTGCCATTTGATCTCAGGACACGAAGACAGAATCTGAAGAGAAAAAGGTAACTATGTTTGACTTAGATTTTACGGAGGCCTAGCCAGCTCAAATACCTTGCACACTCTCTTCCGACTTTTCATATCTACACAATAAACCACGATCACCATCTTCAGCCAGGCTCCTGAGGATACTAACAGAAAAATCTAAGGCTTCTGGTCTGTTTCTCTTCCTTGTTCCCATCAACTCCCTCCATCTTTCAGATATCGCCCATTAAGGATGAACTGATTAAAACTTTCAAATCTCAAAAGGATGCAAGATTACAGAAAGCTCCTAAAGTCACCGTATCCAAAAAGCCACAAAGGAGAAAACTACAGTCTTAATAAAGAAAATCGAGCTGAGAAATATTTGGGGCTCAAGGTGAATGTGGACATTTCTAGTGCCAGCCCAACCTCCTGCTCTAAAACCCAACCACCAACATGGGTCTAATTTTCAACTGAAGAGCCAAGATTTAGATACAACTCAAGAATTCAGATATCCACTTACTTTAGGATTTGATGCTTTTTCTAGCAGTTCCTGAACCTAAAGGGAAAAACAGAACAAGTCAGAAGCCTGGCAATCACGACTCTCCCAGAGGCAGTTTGGCAAAGGGATCTTACGTAGTTCTCCCCGAAAGTGCGCTGGCCGTGACTGTAGGCCTCGATCACCATGTCTGCAGGTTTGGTTTTGCTGACTGCTACTAGCCGGGGCTGGATGGCTGGCAAATCCTGCCGAGACGGAAAGAGACAGATGAGTGAATGTTGGGAACAGTATCCCAATAAGTCCTGTAAGATAGATCCTGTAGAACAGATTGGCACAGATCTTAATTTCGCACTTGGTAAGCTCCATTTTTCCAATACTGCAGGGAGATCAGTATCAAATAATGTTGATCAAATGTCTTTCAAATGCACGGCATCTAAAATCTAATATGTTAGCTATGTTAATATCTACCAAAAGACATTTATCTCTCAGGAGAGCAGGGCAGGGAGAAAAAGCAGTATTCTCTTAAAATGCAGTCTTTGCCCAACCGCGTCAGCAACTGGGTCCCACTCCAGACCTAATGAATCTGAATCTCTGGGGCTGGAGTCTGAGAATCTCCTTCTTAACAAACTCTCCAGATGATTCTCTTGCAGACCAAGGTTGGAGGTTCAGGAATCACTTCATTAATGGAAGGCATCACTCTCTGACTAGAAGAAAGGCCACTTCCAGCTTCTGAAACTCTAAAGTTAACCATTTGGGAAATTCATTTTGGTCCCGGTGTAATTATTAATATTGCCCCCATTCACTCTCAAAAGCGGCCTGCTTAGGGTAACTATGTACGCAATTTGTTGTTCAATCGAATCAAGAACCAGTGGCACAACTAAGGCAGGGACACAAAAAGCTCTGGACTAAGGATTGGGCCTATCTGACCCCTCTCATGGCCATTCCATAGAGAGCAGGGCTTCCCCCCATTCTGCTGCAACCAAATCCACAGGGGCGGTAAGAGAAGAGATTCACACAATCCTTACATAGCTCAGTGTTCACGTACCCCAGCACCCTCTGGAGATTTCACAGAATCACAGCATTCTCAAAGGGCCTGAAGAGTCAGCTCACTTAGCAAAGAGTTTCCTCTTCTTTCTGAGGGCAGCATTCCCTGCCTTTTACGAGACTATGTCATAACTCCTAGGATTATGCTGATGAATTGATGGTTTCCACAGAGAAAAGTGGAACAAGCCGCCCATCTGCCTCAGAGTAACGCTGGGAGAACCTCCAGAGTGATGTTTATTAGAGGAATCCCTAGATTTTTCTTGGAGAATCATAGAATATTAATGACAGAAGGGAGCTTAGAGCTTTCAGAGCTCATTCCATTGTCTGTACAGAGGAGGAAACTGAGGGTCAGAGTAGATAAGTGACTTGTTCAAGGTAACATCTAAGTAGTAGCCAAGGGAAGACTATGAATACAGGTTTTCTGTCTCTAGGCCCACATTCTGAGTTCTGACACTATAAATGTTTGATCAGAGAAGCCTGTGACCTCTGTTCTGGTCCGCCTCATTCCACACCACTCAGCTTAAACTTGCACTGAGGGGGCAGATATTGACCTTTGGTCTAATGAAATTCCAAGAGGAGTCAAAACATATATAAGGAGGGAAAAACTTCCCCTTAAACTGCTTGGGATTGGAGGTCAGCTCCCTCCTGCCCTAAACGCGCAAGTGCGGCCCTGGTTCCTCCAAGCCCGGCCAACCCACCCTCTCCTTGGCTCACGGGTGGAAGTGACATTCACTGAGCATCTACTAGCTGTCAGACGCCACCACACACGTGATCTTGGGCGATCTGGCCTCCTGCGGTGCTCTTGTAGTAGACGTCTTTTCTTGCGTCTGGGCACAGGCCTGGCCCTTCTCCCGTCCACTGGGCTGTCGACGAAGCGGGATGGGCAATGGCCGCGACGCCTGCAGACCGGTCATTCTCCCGGGGTAGCGGATACCTTCTGCTCCGAGCTCCAGAAAGCCTGACAGACTCACTGCGAGGTCGCGGAGGAAACCCCTCGCTAGCCTTTTGGGCGCTCTGCCACCCGCGCCAATGCCAAGGCGGACGGGCCCCGCCCCTCCAGGAGACCCCCGTGCGTCACCGTGACGACCCATTCCTACTCAGGTGTCCCCCTCCTCAAAGCGGCCGCCCACCGTCCCCACGGGGTCGCCTTCCTCACCCGCGGCCGCCGCGCCACCGCCTGCTGCACGCGCTCGTTCACGGCCCGCAGTGCCAACCCGACTCCCAGCTCGGCCGACATGCTGCCAGCTCTCCACATCCCCGGAGACCGCCGCCAACCCCAGACCCCCGCACCCCCGGGCTGAGACCGCCTTCCGGTCCCGCCCAGCTCACGGCGCTTGAGTGTGGCCCAATCGCCGCTCACCACTGAGTCGTCTCAGCCAATCGACGCCCGGGCGGGGCGGGGGCGGGGTCGCGGGTGGCCCCGCCCATCCGCGACGGCCATCTTGGGGAGGTTGACCGGCCCGCCGCGGGCGGTCTGGAGGGGTTGAGGGTGCTGCGGCCTCCTGGGTGGTCCGGGGCCGCCTGCGAGACCTCTCGTCCTGCCGCCTGAGCCGCCCGCGCCGCGGTCCCCGTCCTGACGCAAAAACGCGGCCTGTTCCCGGGGTTCTCTGCCGGTTCAAAATGCCTCACAAATTTGTGAGGGCCTTCAGAGCGCTGTGAACTGAGATTTCTGTGCGCGGGGACCAGGACTGGAAGCTGCTGGAGCGGGAGCCAGGGCTTTGCGTATCTCAGATGATTCTTGTGAGGAGCCGTTAAGAGATGTGAAAGAAAGCTCTTTCTAAAGAACACGGCATGATGACTTTCCTCTTCGTCATCCTTGGGACCAATGCTGTCCGGTAGAAAAATGATGAGATCCACATATGTAATTTAAAAATTTTAATAGACACATAAGAAGTAAAAAAAATGAATATTTTATTTAACCCAGTATATCTAAGGGTTCAACATGTAAAACTTCAAATGAGATACTTGAATTGTTTTTTATCGTACTTAGTGTCCACAATCCGTAGCATCGTTTTGATTTACAGCAGGCCTCAGTCGGTGCTTTCTATATTTCAAGTGGCAGTGGCCCCTGTGGCCAGTGCTACCTTATCAAGGAGCCCAAGCAGCTGTGGACAGTGCAGTGTGAGCTCAGTGCACGTTCAGTCCAGTCCTCCAGTCTCCTTCTGCCCAGCTCTGGGCAATGTGAAGGCCATTAACGTGATGAGCAGCCAGACAAACAATACAAAGGTTAACAGTAAAAGGCTAGATTTAATAGTCAGATGGTGAAAGAGTAGGTGCCGTGAACAAGCACAAAGAGATTAGTTTTGTTAAGGAAAGCTCTTTTGGCTGTACTGTTGAAAGATTCTCAAACATGAACTCAACTTAATGAAATGGGACGCTATTATGTTGGAGAAAGGGCTCAAGTTTTGTTCTCCAGGATGTCTCCAGGAGTGATTGTGCTCAAGTCTCTGGACTTGATAATTTCTACTCCTGACATAGTGGTAAAAATTAACAAACGACTAGAATAGCGCTTCATGGTGGGACTATAATAGATGTTTGCTGTAGGGATACAAAGTTGGAAGGCGCTAGCAAGCAGTCAGTGGTGGGAGGAACAAAGGGGATTAGTGACCGGATCATGGTGAAGGGGTGTGTAGAGGAAGGATTGGGTGAGCATGACATACTTAAAGTGATATGCTATTTGGAAAACATTTTTAAAACTATGAATACCTCATAGATCTAGGGGGTGTAAAATCCAGGTGATAGGTCCCTATGACAAGTAGGTGCATCTTCATTTTATCAGTCACGTCTCTTTGAATTACAAGGTCACCACCCCCACGGTGTATATATGTGTATGGCTCCCCAAAAGGCATCAGAAGAGCAATTTAAACTTTCAAGTCAATAAGGATAGTGGTGGTGGTCAGATTGGGTAGTGGTGGCATAGGACTGACACAAGTTGAATTTTGGTTTCATCACTAACCTGTGATCTTAGACAAGTTACTGAACTTCTCAGTTTTTTCATTGATAAAATTCAGTTAAGATCTCCTTCAGAGTTGCAGTAAGGATCAAGCAAGATAACATGTGTAACACACTTAGCAGAGGGCTGCCCCAAAGCAAGTGCAGGTGGTCAATGGATGTTAGTCCCCCCGACCCTGCTCACCCATTCAATCAACTCTTATTGTGGCGTTTCTCTGTAAAGGTACCTCAGAGGGGACCAAGATGAGTAAGATAGGCTTTACTGTGGATTCACTTCTAAGATGCTTTTCATCTCTAACATTCTAGATCTTTTGAAAACAGAAGTAAAGACAAAAAGTCATGGTGACCCCCGTCTCATTATTATTTCACATTTTCCAATTTCTTTACTTCTTAGCTTTGCTTTTGAATTAATTTTATTCCACTTTTTTCTCCTTATTTCTTTTTTTAGTTTCTTCTCTTCCTCTTCCTGGGACAGCAGCCATCTAATTTAACCTTTTATCCTTCCCTACTACCTAATCCTTGAAAAATGTGAGTCCAAAAATCACTTCATCACCAGTAATTTGTCTTTAAGTTGCTCCAATAGTTTGCAAGGACAAAGGGGAAAAGAGAATGATTAAAAAGCCAAATACATAGAGGAACAGATTTTACAAACAAAACTTAGTGTTCTTATTCACCATAAATACCACTGAACTTTTAAAACATTCATCTCTGTAGTCTAAGGCCCTGAATTATGAGAAAAAATTTATGAATTTTAAAACTGTTTCCTTCTGAGCTTACTGTGACTCTTTAGGGGGATAAAAAAAGATAAAATAATAGAAAATTACTGTTGCCTGGTTACTTGGCTCTGAAAAGAAATGGAGAAATAATGCCACGTCCCAGTTTAAATGAGTTCAGGTAGAGTAGCTGTGACAGCAATCCCTCAGCAAACATGCTGTCACATCTGACTTTTGAAATGTCAGTGTAGATTCTAGAACCCGAGACCTGGAGCCCTTTAGAGATCACCTGATCTTTCATATAGAAAGAATGACATTTAAACCATCCCAAATAGCATAGCATCTCCCCAATTTCTGAAGACCATCAGAGAAGAAAATGTTATCCATGCTAATCCCCGGATTTATTTATATTCTACTTGCAGATATCTTCTCCCTTTTTCAAATTTTAGCCAGTCTTAAGTAAAATCTCTTAAAATACTCTATTCTGCAAGCTAATTTCCTCTTCTTTGGTCTCTGAGAAGCTACAGAACACCTGCTGACCATTATGCAACTTTTATAAATGAGAAGCTGTTCAGTTCCCCTTCTGCCTTTTCTGGGCTCAACCCATGAGCTTTATTTTTTTAAATTGGAGCCCAGAACTAGGCAATTCGTAACATGGTCAAACCAGCTGATTTTCTACCTACTACATTTCTGTAGAGGTCTGTGTTCTTCATATTGTGTTTGCTGCATAGCAATGCTGTTCCCTTCTTCCTCTGTGTGCTCTCCTATTTGTAATCTTGTTCTATGTTATCTCATCTGATGGTTTTCTACTTAGTGGTACCCACTTAATAGCTGTGTCCTTTCTAGCCTGTTTTTCCAGAGGATTTAAAATAAGTTATTTTGAACATTTATACATGCTAGGCACAGTGCTAACCCCTTCACGTGATTTCATTTAATGCACTCAACCCATTTTATAGATGAAGAAACTGAGGCTCAGAGAGGTTAAAGAATTTATTCAAGACCATATACCTCGGAAGTGGTAGAGCAGGGATTCAAATCCTGGCAGTCTAACTCCAGTAACTACATGCTTAACTTACCTATTCAATTCTAAGTTCATGTTGTTTGTGTAGTAGGCTCTCAAACCAATAGAGAAAGTTTGGGGGCACCATTAAAAAACCTTAGAAAGCCTGTGCTACGGTGGCCAGATTAAGCAAATAAAAATACAGGACAACCAGTGAAATGTGAATTTCATATAAATGAGTAATTTTTTAGTATGTCTCATGCAATATTTAGGACATATTTTTACTAAAAATTATTCATTGTTTATATGAAATCCACATTTCACTGGGCACCCTGTGTTTTATCTGGCAGTCCTAGGCTGGGCAGCTTTCCAGAGTAGAGACTGGGACTTTTTCACTGAATTGATATCAAAATGAGTTTTGGGTTAATTCAGAGGGAGTAGAATTGCAGTGGTGTATGGATTCTTAAAAATGATAAATCTCTGTAGCACCTCCCAAGAATTATACCATGTTCATAAATTACTTATTGTTTAATTTATGGAGATAGATATTCATCTGAATATATTTTTAGGGCGATCTTGTACGTAACTCACTAGGCAGGACGTTTTATTTCTTTATATCACCTACCCTAATATTAGCTATTTCACTTTAATAAAAAAGTAAATACAAAGACTCATTTTATTTAGCAAGACTGAAAATAAAACTAAGACATAAATTCACACCTTTAGTGTTGTCCAAAACAATTCTTCCAGCTATCAACCCAAAGCAATTAATGCAGCATATTATTTCTAGAGTAATTAATATAACAAGTATCATTTGTCAGTTACAAAGGGGGTCATTAAGCCCTCGGGGCTCTTTGAAAGTAGAATTAGTTTGACTATTCAATCACCAGCTTACACAAGAGCAGAAATAAAAAGGAATGGAAATACAAACACAAAATGACTATTACCTCTTTTATAAGGAAACAACAGAAACAGTGTCTAGAAAACCCTACTGAGTAGAACTAAAGAAGTGGTGGTTTCGTTCATAGACACAGAGTAGCCACTAGCCAAGATACATTTTTATTCTCAAACTTAGGTAAGTCAGTAAATGTGATGATCTTACTTTCACTATTTATTCTCTATAAGTGGTATCACTATTTACTCTAAGTGGTCAAGGTATCAGTGTTGAAAGATACATTGACCCATAGAAATTGCAACAGATCATTTATAAAACATCTACTGTTTTTGGATTAATATGTTGCTAAAATTCTTTCAGTGATTTTTTTTCCTCCCTCAACTTAATATGATCATAGATCCCTCCAAATTTATTTTAGTCATATAAAAATTATTAAACTTTGGCTTCCTTGCAAACATTCTTTCCTTATATTAAAAAAATATTAAAAACAGTACTGAATATGAATCACTTCTGCAAAGTTTAATGAGAAACATTCAACCAAGGTGATTTTTCCTTGGAAAATCCTACAAAAACTGAATTTTATAAACAGTTACTTATTTTGATAGAAGTTCCATTTATAAATAGCAGCCATGACTTTGCTGCCTACAAAATTGCAGGCTGTCACATTTTACATGTTTAGAATGCAAATGTTTTAAGATCAGATTTTGAGTAGGTGTTAAAGAAACAAAGTCACACAGACAGACTAGTTAGTTGTCCCGTGGTAAGGAAAGAGCTGACTTCCATGATTTTACTACTCAGGCAGGTACAGACAAACACTGGGTTTAAACTAATGGGTACTACGACATTTATATTTTTGTTTAAAGAGGAAGTGATACCAACATCGAGGGGGCAGGTGCAGCAGGACTTTACTGAGGCTCTTTTGTGGTCAGAGTGTGTCTAGTGCAAGGGAAAAGCTGTCAAAGGAGGTGAGCATTAGAGAGACTCTCAAGTTAAGAACCTGAGCAAACGTGCTATTCGGAGAGGCTGAGATATTCTTGCTCCTTATTCCATTGTAGTGAAGTAGTGTTTTCTGAGGCCTAGGTAGCAAGTCTCAGAGGGAGCAAATACATAAACCGGGGATGCTGGATGTCACATGTTGCTCCTGTCAAGTGACTGATGGCATTGAGATGGGAGGAGGGTGAATATATCTTAATAATGGATACCCTGTGTTAGTCTTGGGAGATGGACTGCCTTCTGCAAGGACTTCTGAGCACATGAAAATCCATCACTCCCAGGAACATCTGGCTGCCTGCACAAAGTGTGACCAGGACCAGGTTTGAGAATTCTAAGTCCCAGGAATTAGAATAGAGAAGGGCAACATTTGAATTAAGAGGATTTAACACTTTGTGTCTTCCTGGGCAGGCTGAATGCTCCACGAACTCCCGACAAGCCTGGTGCTACTCAGGAGCAAGCTGGCCTGAGTTCTGGGGCCATTTAATAAACCAGAAGTCAGGCCATGGGACCAAAAATGAGGCGGGGATCTGTGCCACAGAGTATCATTCACAGTTTCACTGAGGGAAGAGGGGTACAGTGGGAGTTTGGGGGTGGGGGCGATAGCTATTAACAAGGCCAAATCCTAAGGCAGAGCTTGTCATGGAGAACACCAATATGCTTGGAAGTAACTCCAGCTAGCGGCCCTCCATGGAACAATTTGGAACACAACTCCTAGGCTATACAGGCTGGACCCCCCCAACCCCAACTCCAGTTCCAGGATATAAGAAAACCTTTCTTTCATGTTTGCTCTCCCCTATCCTGAATCTCCCAGAGTGAGATTTTCCTAAGTAGTAATGAAAAAGAAAATATTTGAACGAATTTTGATGCAGCCATTCCAACCCAGGGACTTGGGCATGAACTCTGACTTGCACCCCCATAGCTGTCTCTGGAGGTTTAACATTCAGTCTGACTCCTGTGTGGCTGCCTGGAGCCCTGGACTTAAAAACACACACTACTTAGAGAATGGCCCCCCTTTTATCACTGTGTCAGACAAACTTCCAGCACAAGCCATTGGCACTGGGACAAGGAAATCTTCTGAATGTCCTTCTTCCTCCTCCAGAGGAGCTCTGCAATGTAGAATCTCCACAATAACCAGACATGTGATCTCAAGGAACTACATAGTTTGCCAAGCGGGAACCACAGTGGCTAACATATAATGATCCCGCTTCAGCAGCTAGTAAGACACTTGAGTTTGTTCTTGTCTTCTAGATGCTGAGTGGTACCAACGAACAGATTGAGAGGAAAAAAACCAGATCACAGAACAGGTGCAAAGTTTTAAAAAGAATTGTGTGGCGGTGACCAAAGCCTGACTCTGGAAACATAGTCAGAAACCACCACTCTTTAAGCCCTAGGGCAGGCGGGTAGTGGATAGAAAAGCTCGCAAACCTAGCACCAGTTCTTCCTTTTGAAGGCCCAAGGCAGCGCGCCTCTAAAACGACCCATGTGTGCACTGACAGAAACGCTAGGACACCCACACTCTCTGCGGCCGCTTCTCCGCGCTCTCCTGGCAAACGTACAAGGAAATATTTGCCCAGTTCTGCGCCTCGACCACAGACTTCTCCCACCTTGGACGAGAAAATTGGACATTTTCCCAAATAAGGGAAATCAAATCACCTGAAGGCAACACCCTGTATTTCTCCCGCTTAAGACAGCATCCCTAATTAAGCCAGCTTCAAAGGGCTAAAATTAGTGCCTGGGGGTCAAAGGTCACGCCTATATTTACAAATCTTAACAGAAGTCATATAACCTACTTACCTGAATAAAACCTCAAATCATCAATCCCAGCCCTCCCTTCCCAGGAATGGGAATAGATTTAGGTCCATTTCTTCTTTTTTCACCACAGTACGTGGAAGAGAGTCAAAGAAGGTAGTGTGAGCGGGAGGGGCATCCTGGTTCATCGTTAAAAAATAAAGATCTCTAAGTGTCAGCTAAGGTTGTATAAAAAAAATTTCAATTCTCCTCAGTATCTGCCTCCAAGGACTCGTCTTCCAACACAAAACTCAGCTTGTCAGCCAGCCCCTCAAACTGCTTGCCCAGACTGCCTGCAGAGTCCACGAACATGTTAGGGATGTCCTTGCCAAAGTAAATCTTGCTGTTGGAAGCAATGGCCTTGTACTTCATCAGCTGCAGATACTCAGGGGTCAGCTTCAGCTGGAAGAGAAAAACGTAAAGACGACTGAGGTGCAGGCAGATTAGAGAAAAGTTTGGGTGGCATCCTTTCACTTTCCACATGGAGAGGATCTCTGTCAAAGAAATATGCCCTCTCTACTTCTGGTCTCACGGTTACAGTAGCAACAGGGTAACCACTTCTCTAAGAGAAAGTAATCTCAGATCTTCAAGGCCAGAGCTGCAAGAGTTTTAGGATTTCCATGTTTAGCACAAAAATTAAACTTGAATCAAGGCACTGCTAAGTAAAAGAAGTCCCTATCCCACCCAGCACAGGAGTCATCACTTCCGGCCGTGCAGGGCTCTGGGTGGTGGTGGTCACCCAACAGTGGGAACTCGCAGACAACAGAAGCCCAGCCCCACATACACCTCCTCTTCCCCAGGCGCCCCGGGCCTTTACCTTGTTTGCTTCGGCTATTTTCATAGCTGTGTAGCACTCAGCATCCGCCTTTGCCTTCTCCCGGGCCAGAAACGCAGCATCTGAGGGGAAGAATGCAGGGAGCTGAAGTGCAGAGGCCATCAGAAGACTGTGCCTGGCCCCCGTCCCTTTCCCCGACTGCCTCTGTGATCTCGGGGAGATTGCTGTTTTTTCTCTGTGCTTTGGTTTCCTCATCTGTGAAATGGGAAAAAGGCATTTTTTCCCATTTCACAGGTTGTTGTGAAAACCAACCAAGATGAAGGAGTGCTTTGAAAGGACCTCCCTGTGGTGGGCACTAGTTATGGGAAAGTCCGCTGCTGTGCCCGACAACATCTTTGACAGCATTATCGAGAAAAGCGCTGCTGCCCAGGGACAATTCCTGCTGCCACACGCCGCCTCCTTTTGTAGCTCCACGCCTGGGAAGAGAGGTGTGGACCCCTGCCTCCACCTCATCCCTCCTGTGCTACGCAGCAAAAGCAAGGGAAGCCCAAAGAAGGCTCTGAATACAGCTAGAGATGGGTCCCTCCTAGAACCGAATACCATAAACATAAAATAGTTCAGCCCCTCTCCAACTTCATTTCTCTTTTTCCATCAATCATTTCAAAAAGGTTGTAATTAACAGTGGTTAAGATGGCCCAGCTCTAAGAGAATTACACGCCATGGTCCAGACTAACACCTGTCTGGATTAAGACCTATTTAAACCTCCATGATGCAAGCAATACACTTCCTTAATCTGCCGAGACTAGCTTTCTGTCAAGCTGATGCACAACTGTTGATATTTACTCCCTTGCCTTGGGAATACGGCCGGCCTCACGTGAGTAATATTTGTAGCAAAAAGCCAGGGAAGAAAGGTCACTCTGTGGTGGGTTCTCACTGCACACCCTCAGCATGACCCCAGGTGGAAGGAGCCTGCAGTCGGGCTGGGGCGCTAGCTGCATGCTGCCGTCTCAATTGGCCTTAGCACCTGACATGTATTTATAAGCAATAAAAGTGTTGTTTTGCTAAAAGCTCCCTAAGGAGGAGCCGCTGATCTGTAAAATCCTAATTGGCTCCTCAATGGGCCCCTGCAAAGCCCAACAGGCCCCATAATGAGTATAACTGGACATAGCACTTTGCAGCCTGAAGCTGGGCCTTGAGGCCCCATTTCTGTCCTAGAATTTGCTTGATATAAGGCACCAAATGAAGGAAAAGGTGGGTGGTGGGAATGAGGTGAGGGCTGAGGGGCAGGGAACTGAAGGGGAATGATATTCAGAAAAGCCAGCAAAGAAAACACTTCTCTCCAGCTCCAGTGTTGTTGGTGCTGAAAAGGTGTCTTCTTCATGCTTGGCTTAGTATCTGCAGGGACCCTGAGAGTTCAGGTGCTCCCCGACTTCCGAGGAGGGGTAGGTAAGGCAGGAGGAGAGAGCTGTGGATCTGGCCTCGATGCTCAGTTACTTCCAACGCCAGACTGTGAGCCCAGGATGGCTGGAACTGTGTGACTGCCCTCGTCTTATGCCCAAGGGCACCCAACCAACATTTGCTGAATGAATGAATGCCCTCTGAGGTGGAAAACTGATGGCAGCCTGGCCCAGATCTCCCCAAAACTTGAGTCAAAGCACAGAGAAAAAGTGATGTTCCAAAGAAATCATGACATCTTAGAACAGATAATAAAGAGCAAAAGATATGACTCTCCCACTTCCTTGCTACAAAGTGGGGTTTGAGGAAGCTCAGGCATTTTTCACTTCTGCTCACCTTCAATTTCTGAAATCTTCTTCTCAGTCTCCTTCTCCATCACCTTCTGCCCATAGGTGATTTCTGCAACCTGAGCCACTTTTTCTGCCTCTATATTAGTGAAGTTGAGGAAAGGCTTAGAGCTCTGATATTTTGAAAGTTTGAATAAATTTGACCTTTCACCTGATCTGAGTCCCTGATGCATGAGAGCTCAGATGGAGAGCCACTGGCTCCAGAGGGCAGCCCTGACGGCACACACGGGCAGAGACAGAATGCACAGTGAGCACAAACCACGAGATCGGCACAACACAGTGACTGGGCAGAGCTGTGCCCGGGGGCGGAGAGTCATTCCTCAGGGGAAAGCGAGGAACAAGCCCTAACCTCTCCCCTAAGTCACAAGGGTGTTTCTCCCAAAGGAATATTGTAAGGACTAAGGTACTCTCTAAAAACTGTCTTCCTGCCACTTTGCTTTAGGAAGTAGTCCAGTTTGTTGGTGATGAATCCCTGGACTGGAAACCCGGTTCCACCACTTACTTGCCACATGACCTTGGGCACGTCATTTAACTTCTCTGTGCGTCAGCTCAGTAAAATGAGGTTGACGGTAGTGCCCACCTCACCTGCTGGTTGTGAGGTTTGAGAGAATTCGAATGTAAGTGCTTAGAAAAGCACATGGCTCGTTAGTGCTCAGTAAGTGTTAGCCATTATTATTATTGTGAATTAACAGGAAAGGCTCCTTTCATTTAAGAGATATGTGGAAACTCAAAGCTCATTGCCCCTGGCCATGACCTGACAACTTCAGCTTGGCTTCTGGGAGTATGAATGCCCCTCCTGCGTGTGGCAAGGGACTGGAGGACCACATGGTCTAACCCTGCCTGAGGCTTCCTCGCTTCTTCCCATCATCTCCACCCTTCTGCCCTGAAACGGATCACAGAACCGCATGCAGACCAATGAGGGCCTTCTTCCGCTCCGTCTCAGCTTCCTTCTCCACCACCTTCTGTTTCTGGGCTGCAATGAGCAACTTTGTCTTCTCGCTTTCCCTGAAGGGGAAAAAAGTGTGCAGCCGTGAGGCAGCTGTGGAAAAGCTTCTGAGGAACTTCACTGTCCCCTGGAGAAGCCACACTCTTCGGCCAAGGAGAGGCAAACTATGATTTCTTTTTTTTTTTCTGAGGAAGACTGGCCCTGAGCTAACATCTGTGTCCATTTTCCTCTACTTTATATGGGACGCCGCCACAGCATGGCTCGACAAGCAGTGCGTCGGTGCGCGCCTGGGATCCAAACTGGCGAACCCCGGGCCGCTGCAGCGGAGAACGCACACTTAACCACTTGCGCCACCGGGCTGGCCCCCAAACTATGATTTCTTACTCTCTCCTGGAAGGCTGTTCAATGTCCCAGGGAAAGATGGATCTGCTGCAGACAGTAATATGGCTCTCCTTTTCCTCCAAAATAACTCATTTGTGGGAAATAATGCATAATTTTCTTTAGTAAAATGCACCTGCCTGCCCACTTAATCGTCTTTCCCTCCTATCTCTTTGGCATGAGCCGTGAAGCACAACCAAGGCCCCGTGGCCCTTTAAAAGCATCCCGGCTTGAAAGGGCTTCTCCTGTGCCTCTCAATCAAGTTACAGAACCCAGGTGACTGTCCTGACACGCCTGCTCCGTCTTACAGTGCGCTGGGCTGTAACAGATACTCAAGAAGGGGAATGAAAGCAGGGTACAGCTCCTGCTACCTCTGGGGTGGGAGGGAGTGGGGGGTAAGGCTTAGGCAGAGGGGACACTCACATCAACTCGTAGTTTCTGCGGATTGCCTCAGGTATATTGGGCTTTGTCACCCGCACGGCCTGGGGAAGGATAAAAATAGCACCTGAAGGGAAGGGGAGGGTGGTGAGGGACATAAGCAGCTCCCACTGTTTCTTGATTTTCCCACACAAAAAGGACATCCCTTGGAAGAGGGCTGTGCCAGGGGGTGCTCTCTCTGTGGCAATGCTTACTTGGATGACCAGCCCAGGGGCCATGGAGGTCAGGTCCTGTTGCAAAGCCAGTTTGAGATTTTCATCAATCTGATCTGGAATCAAGAAAGACAGAAAAAGGAGTTGTTAAACTTTTTAGGCAGGGTAGAGGGAAGTATGGGGGTAGAACTCAAGCAAAGACACCAGCTCAAGAATGCACCAAAGGTCTTCCCAAGGTAGTATGCTTCTCAGAGCCCAGAGATGGAAAGAGGCCCTGCAAGTCTTCCGGAGCACATGCCTACGTGGTCCCTCTGCACAGGCCGGCCGTCTGAGTGTCCTTTTCCTGTGGCCTCAAGATAAAGTCATCTAGGTTGTTGAAAATATCAACCTTGCCCAAAAGGGAACTGAGCTTTAAAAAGAAAAAGAACAATTCCAGCACATTTCTTGAGTCAGGCCTTTTCCCAGACAACAGCAGCAAAAGAGAAGGCAGGCACCCAGTTTTCATGAAGGAAGGTGGAATGGCTACGTTAGGTATTTTGAAAAGAGCCAAGCTCATTCAATCTAGTAATTTTAGAAGTTTCTAAAAGAAAAAGAGACTCTGACGTCAAGGAAAGCCCCAAGGAAGACTATTTCCATTAGGAACTCCATCAAATAACACAAGGGGAAAAGGAAAATTTACAGTTCTGGAAATGAGCCCAAGTCTTTGATGTGTTGTTTGCTTTGGTTCTGATTCCTTGGTCTGGAATTCACATGTGAGATGTTTCAAGGACAAGTGTGGGAAGAGCTGTAACTGATTCCCCCTCTAGCTGGGACCCCAGAACAGCAGCACCCAGGCTGCCTTCTCTTCCCTGCCCCGAGATCCTCACTAAGATCCTGAGAAAAAGACTCCACAAGACTAGGCTGAATGTCTAAACTGAATCATCTCCCTTACTGTTAGCTGCCACCTGCTTCAGCGGCCATTCTTGGTCACCTGTGCCCAAGACTTGAGGCATACCTTTCACAGACACCCAAACCGAGGTCCCTGGAGGTTCAGTGATGTGCTCAAGCTAGTTAGCAGCCAGAATAATGAACTTGTTTAATAACTATGCTTTGACTGTTATGGTTTAAAACAGGACTTTCTTCAACTTTTGTATCAGTGAGCAAGGGATTTTAATGTTTCTACATATTGGATATGCTCTCACAAGCCTCTTAGCATCGAGGAAGAAATGCCCATAAAGGCAGCACCTCACGCCTGATATGGGTCTAATGATGTGACAGCTGGAGATAAACACTACATTTCATATTTTCTATTTATTTATTTTTTTGCAGGGAAAGATTTGCCCTGAGCTAACATCTGTGGCCAATCTTCTTCTTTTTTTTCTTTTTCCCCTCCCCAAGCCCCAGGACATAGTTGTATATCTAGTTGTAAGTCGTTCTGGTTCTTCTACGTGAGCTGCTGCCACAGCATGGCAACTGACAGACGGGTGGTATGGTGTGGAGACTGGAAAGGGAACCAGAGCCAGGGAAGCTGTGAGCGCCAAACTTTAACCACTAGGCCATCAGGGCTGGTTCTCATGTTTTCTGTTTTAACTAGGATACCAATCAAACTTTAAGTGAGATGGCCGGTACCCTCTGTAAGTTAATAATAACACAGTCATTTATCAGACCAAATTATATCTGAGTCAAGGTGAAAACTGGTGGCCCTGGGCTCGTAACTTTCCAGGAAAATCTGGAAGAAATATTTTGCAAGGTGGTTTATTACCAAAGTAATACTGGTAATAAGTTATTTATATGTACAGTCATGCTGATAAATGCTCATGAAGTTATATTACTAAGTAAACACAAAGAGGTCCTTCAGTTAAACTTCTGAACAAGTGTTAGATAATATTTTTACAAGATGGACAAAAAGGATGCATCAGAGTAAGCAGTGATGAGAATTATGTGGTCATGTTTAAAGTCAGGGCTATGAGTTCCGAGAGGAGGGAACTAGAGAAAAACCTTCGTTGGTCCAGGGACACGATTAGAGATGTGAGTTTCTCTTTTATGGATGAAAATAGATTCTAAACAAAACAGTGCTTGCCAGCAAGACTGAACTTTAAAAAGAAAGAGATTTCAAAGCAAATACATTTTCCCAGCTCCTCTGTACAAGAAACTATACTTTACTAAGCTACCAAGTTTGTTTCTAAGACAGTAAGAAGTTTTCTAATGCAAAACAATTTCACGTTTTAATTTTCTCTTCGTGGAAATTAGAGATCCTTTGTCTTTTGTTGTTTCAGATGCTTTGAAATGTTCATTTAATGGGCCAAGTCCTAAAACAATGGCTAGAGAGAAAACTAATGATATTTTATAAAATTCTATCAGTTTGAGGTAAAAAAAAAAATCAATAGCAAATCTACCAAATTTTTCTTAAAAGCACACTGAATCCAAACCCAATAAAAGAATCCAAATCCTATAAAGCAAATTTAGATATAATTTTCTACTGCAGAAAAATTAAAAGTGATTCTGATGGTTTCCCAAATCTGAAACACAGTGCTAAGGCTGTTGGCTTAATTAGGATCATTGGCAATGCCAAGACAGGCCTTCTGTCTGCTCTACAAAATGCTCTCACTCAGGGTCCTTTTTATGAAGATTCCTGGGAAAAATCATTTTCCAGTCCTAGAATCAATAACAGCTGTACAAATGGTTGAAAAATCCATTTACTTTTAGCACAGGCTACTAGAAAATGTCTAGCAGAAGTTTAAACAGAACACTTTACCACAAAGGAGCTGTAACAATTACTGAAACGTTTCCTTCCCTTGCTGCTGATGTTGGGCTGTGTTTACTCTGACCAGGGTAAAACGACAAAAAGTGTCTATGTCAGCACGTGTATCCTTTTTGTTTCAAGCGTTTTCCTATTCATCTCTACAGGTATAGGGTAAAATCAGAAAACCAAAACCCACAAAGGTCCCAGGAACGGTAGGCAGCGATGGTCCTTGTCCCACTTCCAGAACTAAACATGAGCCCTACCATCCTCATCACCTTTTTGTTTTTTTCAGTGAGGAAGATCGGCCCTGAGCTAACATCTATTGCCAATCTTCCTCTATTTGTTTGAGGAAGATTGCTGCTGAGATAACATCTGTGCCGATCTTGCTCTACCTTGCATGTGGGACGCTGCCATAGCATGGCTTAAGGAGTAGTGTGTAGGTCCACACCTGGGATCGGACCCTGTGAACCCTGGGTCACCGAAGTGGAGTGTGCGAACTTAACCACTAGGCAACCAGGCCGGCCCCCTCATCACCTTTTCCTTGGTGCCTGTCACTCAGTGTGGCATGGTAGAAAGCACACTCAGATGAGAGCCAGGAGAGGATGGTTCTAGCTTCAGCTCTGCTATCAACCAGCCATGCAACTTTCTCTCTTTCCGCCTCAGTACCCTGTCCTAAAATGAGGATGTTGGGCTGGATAATCTCTAAGGTGCTTCTAGAACTGACCCTGTCTTCGTTACAGAATGGGGAACACACTTCCACTCCAGTCCTCTGATTCAGGCCAGGAGTCCTCTACTCTACTGTCATTCCTGTGCCCAGAGCTCAACCACATTCACCATCTTCTTCCATCGTCATCAGCACTTTCTAGGAATGCTCTGTGACCAGTTCCTGAGCACTGGATTCTTTAACACTCGCTGCCCATTGGTCCCCATCCTACCCCGTGGGTGGCTCAGAACCAGGCAGTGGGGGGCAGCAGGGCTGCTGAGGCATGCTCTGATGAGAAGAGACTTTCTTACCAAAGAGCTCAATGTAGACCTCTTGAAGCGTGTGTACACTGCAGAACTGGTTCAGTTCGTGGTGGATCTTGTTGAAGATGAGGGCCTTGTCGTAGTCGGCAGTGTAGTTCTTCACTATATCATACACTGGAGGGCAGGAGAGATTTCAGAATAAGAAAAGGCAGGACTCAAAACTTTCTCAGACCCGGCAGTTCTCCCATTCTAAGGCGCTGCGAAAGACATGGGGGTGGCGTGCTGGGGAGAGTAAGCTGGTGGGGAGGGTAAACTGGAAAAACGTACCTGCATTCGGGACCAGGAAGTTCACCACTTCAATTCTGTCAAAGTAGATCATCACACCACCACTATTGGAGGAAGAATGGACAAAGAAGTCACTAATAAGCTCTGGAATATAGCGCAGTATCCTAGGTGATGGCATAAGACGTGTGACTTGGCAGAAAAGGAGCAGAGTTCATGGGAGGTCAGAAGGCACGTTGGATCTCCAAGTAGGAGATCTTCGGAACTTATAGCAAGAATACAATCTCCCCAGAAATCACACTCCTAAAATTATCTCCACAAACAATAAAGTGAAACTTTTATGGTGCCAGTAAGAAATAAGTTCCTATCTTCTGAATCCACAATGCCTGTGATTAAAGCAATCAACTGAAGGGAAAAGACTAAAGACCGTCAAGTTCTCAGAAGTTAAAAGGTCACCATGGAATTCTGTGCTCACTGCTTCTCACTTTATCTTCACCATCTCGTTAGTTCAGACTTCCCTCTCCCCTCAAATATTCACTATAAAAAAATTTCAAACATACAGAAAAGTTGAAAGAATAGTACAACTAACACCCACATACCAAGACCTACATTTAAGAACTGTTAACATTTTACCTTGAGTGATCTACTTATTTTTCGCTGAACATTTCAAAGTAAGTTGCAGTCATATTTTACCCCTTAACGTGAATGAGTAATCATCTAAGAATAATGACATTCTCCTATGTAGGCACAAAACCATTCCCAAACCTAAGAAAATTAGCCATAATTCTTTAACTTCATCCAACGCTCAGTCCTTATTCCAATTTCCCCAATAGTTCCCGTTATGGACTGAATTGTGTGCCCTCCAAAATCCCTGTGCTGAAACTCTAACCCCCAATATGACTATTTTTGGAGATAGGGCCTTTAAGGAGGTAATTATGGTTCAATGAGGTCATAAGGGTGGGGCCCTAATCCAACTGGGCTGGTAAAGGAAAAGACACCAGAGAGCTCTTTCTCTTCACACGCACACGCGCAGAGGAAAGGCCATGTGAGGACACAGTCAGGCAGCCATCTGCAAGCCAGGAAGAGAGGCTTCACTAGAAACTAACCCTGCTGGCACCGTGATCTTGGACTGTAAGGTTCTAGAACTGTGAGAAAATAAATGCTGTTTAAGCCACCCAGCCTGTGGTATTCTGTGATGGCAGCCGAAGCTGCCTAACACAGTTCCCATAATGTCCTTAGAGCTGTTATTTTTGAACCAGGTTCTAACCAAGGTTCACTATTGCATTTGTTTATGTCTTTTAAGACCCCTTTTCAAGCCAACACTCCTCCAAATATGACTTTGTGATGAGACCCGGCCAGTTCTCCTGGGGGCTGTCGCAATTCTGGATTTGTCCGAATGTTTCCTCGTGCTGGTGTTTACCTTGTTACTCTATGCCAGTTCAGACCTTCTTCATGTTACAATCGGAGCACGACACTGGTGTTCTCTTTGGATTTCCTGCCCCTAAGGTCTCCCCTTACCTTTATGACATTCTCCATAGTTACTTATGCTCAAGTTAACTTTCTCTATCAAGTCATTATATGCTAAAAGCCTTTAGTGGATCCTTACACACAACAGAAAAAGTCCAAACTTCTAATCATGGCATTCAAGGCTCTCCCAGACCTGTCTACCTTCTGTGACTTCCTCTACTGCAGGCACTTCAGAACGTAGCTGGGCAGGGGGGCAGAGAACTTAGTAAAACCACCAAGAAGGGAGGCCTCCCTTTTCACTTGCTCTTACTGCAGGCAGCCAGATAGCCCTTCCTCTCATTTGGCTTACCAGCTTTATTCTGGCACCTTACCTAGTCCCACAAGGTACGTTCTTCACCTCATCTGTCTGCAGGGTGGTCTGGAAACAGGAGACATAAAATGCTGTAAGACGGGCAGTGACAAACAAAGGAACTTATTTTTGGAATCCCAAACGGCCTTGTCCTTGAACACTTACTTGGCTTAAGCTTTGCTTCGGTTAGACAGGAATATCCCACCCAATGCTCCTTACTCACAGGGTGCGAGACTAAACCAAGGGAAGGGACCTACCCCGGCCTCACTGTAAGTGAACCACCACATGAACGAGCTGAGTAATAACAGTGTCGTGAAAAAGACCTTGGATTAGGAGTCCTAAGACCTGTGTTTACTTCTACTTCTTCCATCTATTAGTCTTGAAACAGTGAATTCTTTATTTAACCTGTCTCAGCCTATAACCCCTGCTCAGCCCATTCTCAGGATTACTGAGACTCAGGTGAGATACTGCACATGAATGCACTGTGAAAACCATAAAATGCTGATGAGGTATCCCAGCACATCTCCCCGGGTCAGTGTAAAAGTCATTCTCGACATCTTCTTATTCCTCTTAACTGGACACACTTCAAAGGTGGCTAGTCTAACTAAGCCAGGCTTTAGATCTGTCATAACTCATCCTATTCCTATTTTAGATGTCATTTCCCTTCACCAAGTTCAACTTTCCTCTTCTTCCCCCTAAATTAAGTTCTCATCTCTGAAGTTCAAATAAGAACCAGCAAAATTACCATGTTTTATTTCCATCTATCTTGGTAGCCTGATTTAAACCACACAGACACACACACCCTACTTTTTCTCCTATATATTCATTTATTTTATTTATTTATTTATTTATTTTTTGTGAGGAAGATCAGCCCTGAGCTAACATCCATGCCAATCCTCCTCTTTTTGATGAGGAAGACCAGCCCTGGGCTAACATCTATTGCCAATCCTCCTCCTTTTTTTTCCCCAAAGCCCCAGTAGATAGTTGTATGTCACAGTTGCACATCCTTCTAGTTGCTGTATATGGGACGCCACCTCAGCATGGCCAGAGAAGCGGTGTGTCGGTGTGCGGCCGGGATCTGAACCCGGGCCGCCAGTAGCGGAGCACCTGCACTTAACCGCTAAGCCATGGGGCCAGCCCATCTCCTATATATTCAGAACAGATTCTTCCCTGGCTTTGTCTTGAAGTGAAGAAATAATGCCCAACTGGGGCTGATGGGCCAAGGAAATGACCCCATTCAGCTAGTTCAACAATCAAGCTCCAGAGTAAATGGCTCGTGGAGCCTCATTCTTTCTATATATATATACATATATAAATAAAACTGACTCTTAAATGATTCCTTGAAAAGGTATTATACTCATCCAATAGCTAAATTCCAAATCATGCATTAGTCAGCACCCCAAATCTGCAGTCGTCCATCCATACCACACAAGCCAAGTATACCTGCACAGACTTATATGATGTGATGAAAGGGAGCATGAGATGGAAACCAGGGCCGCTGGTGGAAGTCAGCAGGGCACCGCCTCTGCAGAGGAGGAAGAGAGAGGCAGGTTCAGTTTAGCAAGAGGTATCTATTACAGCAATATGGTTTCGGCCAACTTTCTCTTCAGCCCCACAAACGTTTAATATAGAGTGACATGTGTCAGAGCCACATCCACTGATCCCTTTCTTCCTCTTGGCTCAACTGTAATATTCTAGGAAGCCTGATGGTAAAACATAAAACCATTATTCACGCTTTTGCAGTGAGAAAGATAGGCACACAGGTTAAGTGGAATAAAGACAGCAGAATCCCTGGCTGTACTTCAGATAAGAGAGGAAGTCTGTTTTATTTTGTCATATCCCTTGAGTTTGTGGGAATCCATTAGGGCAGTTAAATGCAGTAATACCGCCATCAATTAACTGCACTAATGTTGGAGTCCAGTGACATGAACAACCAAAAGAATAATTTTAAGTATGCTTTATAAATCATTTTAATATATTTTTTTGGCAGGAGAGTTATCTTTTAATCAAGTTATATGTAAATAATAACAAAATTAAAAGCCTTTTTTGGGGACATAAAAGCAGGTGGTGGGGAGAAATAATTAAAGTAGAGAGGGAAACTCGATCAGACATTTAGAACTTGCTATTGGAAATCTAGAAATAAGCATCATAGGGCACATACACGAAGGGGTTCATAAAGGCTAAAGCAACAACTTGGTTATGGAGGTTACTAAAAGGAAAGCACCCCAAGATTTATAAGTGCTTCTTCGCTTTACATTATGAAGTTGAAGATACATTTTTTTTTTAAAAAGAGCAATAAAATAAACAGTGACATAATGGGCTCCATTATTGTAAGAACCACTATCCTCAGGCTTGCCTTAATTAATATAAATAAACCTGCAGGCTCTTTCACATTTCCTGAAATGTTAATTTTAAACAGTAGGTTCAAATTAGCACAGCAGGCTAGCTCCTCAAGTTGCCATCAAGAACTGGTACTCATCAGAGGTAACCTTGTGGCACCAAGATGCCCAAAGGGATGTAGGAGAAAACAATGTTTCAGAGATGATCTGCAAGGAGCACTGGTTTCCTTTAGGTTTTGTCTCTACATATCTATACACATTTATCAATCACCATCCATGGCACCAACTTAAGACTACTAAATTGTATATTTACAACTATATATGCGTATATATGTATGTGTGTGTATTCCCCTCCCCATGGTCACTGACACAAAAGCTCAATCTAAAAGACTCCCCTATTCAACAAAATATAAACACAGATATCCAGCAGAATCTGCTAGACAGTGATTAGGAAGGAGAGTCATGTAAGAGGAAGTTGCAAGTTTCTCCCTGTCTCTGCCTTACCTGTAATACACCCCAATATGTCCCTCTTCTATCTTGTGCACAGCTGAGAAGAGAGATGCACAAAAGAAGCTGGCAGCCACAGCCGCAATTGCTCCCAACTGAGCCATCAGTGAACCTTTATCCTAGGAAAAAGATACGGGAAAATGTGTGTGGTCTGACGCAGGAGACAAGCTATGACAGCAAGAGCACCTCACCAAGCTGAGCTCCCTCAAAGTGGCTCTTATCCAGCCTGCTATAGTATCAACACATGGCTAGGTCTACAACTCTCTTCAAACCTTGTTCTCAGTCAACATTCCCATTCCTTAACTGTAGAATTATATTCCCACCTCTTGAAAAGGCAGTGGCTCCAGCCGTGGCCCGAGGAACCCGTGCTAATTGGGCAGCGTTCAGAACACAGCCTTCCCTTCCTGTGAACACGCACGTGCTGTCACTAGAGCCACTCATACTAGTAAAAGGGAAGAGAGGCAGCTGCAGTATGTTGGCCCAAATTACAGAGGATGTCAGATGACCGGCAGTTGTGGCTATGTAATTCTGGTCAGAGCCTCCCAGTCCTAATTGCCCACCATTTCAAAGGAAACCATTATTTACTCCTTTCAGATGCTGGAGCGACAGAGACAGCATGCGAGCAGAGGTCCAAGGTGGGATTCTTTGGCCTGTCATCCACCTTTCCAGTTATTCCTTTGGCCCTTCACGGGACAGGGTTCTGAACAAGACTGAAGACACACTCCCTCCCATATACCTGACACTTTGCCCCTGACAGGTCCCAACTCCATGGTTAGAGAAAGGGGGTTCCCCAAGCTGGGAGGACTCTGGGCTCCTGGGACAACTGCGTTCAGGCACCAGGATGCGAAAGAGTTGGCATCTAGACTCATTTTCCGAACACTGAATGATCTGGAAACCCTATGGTAACGGGCAGCAGAAGGCAGTCAGGCGTGCGCGGCCCACCCGCGCAGAGCGTGGGTTCTGCCGCCCGGGTCCAACATAGCTCGGGCGCGGACACCCGCGAGCCGCTTATTTTACGGTGGCGGCCTCCTGCTACCGATCTGCAGCCGCATCCTTTCCGCAACAGCTCTTCCCTCCCGAGGTCACCCCGCCCCACCTCGCGCCCCTTCCCTGCCCTCTTCCGAGAGAGGGTCGCGCGTCCCACACGCCCTGGGGAGGGGCTGGGCTCCGAGAGCCTCCGCTCGGTCCCGCCTGCGGGATCGCGGGCAGGGACGGGACAGAGAAGCGTCGCGTTCTCGCTCCTGGAGTGGGCCGGCTGAGGGAGCGAGGCTGCTGGGGCGGGGGCCCGGGGGAACCGCTCATCGGCTCCGGCCGACAGCCGCAACTAGGCCCAGCGCGCCCACTAAGGGGCGGGGGCCGCGTACCAGGCTGTCCCTCCAGGCGCTCCGTACTCGTCCGACCTCCTGTGCAACCGCAGAAACCGCCACACCCCTCGACACGCTACTTCCTTCCGGACCCGTCGCTCTGATGACGCCATTAGTCCACGCGAGAGGATCACACTCCCTGCCCAGTTCTTCGCCCCGCCCTCGCGCTCCGAGTGGTCAGTGTCCGCGGGTGGCCGCCAGGGGGTGCCCGCGGCTCGGTCTGGGCGGTCAACGCTGCGCTCTGGGATTTCAGGGCTGGGGTGCGCGGAGCGCGTGGAGGGTGACCGCGGGTGCTGAGACCGAGGGTGTCACTTTCCGAGATTTTGACTTTGGAGTTTGCTGAGGAGGCCCCTCCGCATTAGGCCAAGCCTGTTTTTTTTTTTTTTTTCCCGGAGCAGGTCCCAGCGAGTTGCAACCATTCTAGCCCTGTGCTCGCAGGATCTTTGAAATGTGCAGATTAGCACCATTACGTCGCTAATCAACAGTCGCTGCTTTGAATTGCCTTTTTGCTTTTCTAGGAGCTTTGGCCTCTGAGGTCCCCGCACCATAAAGTCGATTAAGAAGGAATTATCCCAATTTTAGTGAACGAAATCTAAGATCAGTGAGGTGCGAGGGTAACAGTGGATGAAAGCCTCCTTTGCGCTTCCTTAACATCAGGACCTTAACTGCCTTTGTAAGTTAACTCCGGCCGCAGGACACAGGGGCTTGTGCGCTTCGTTGTCTCCCTGGCTAGACTGTAAGTTCCTTGAGGGCAGGGATTGCCTCTTCCCTTCAGCATCCCGGGTGCTCAGGTGCTCAGTCAAAACAGACTGAAGGCGTGGCGGGACCGGGACCAGGATCCAGACTTTGCCTCTCCTAGTCTAAGGGCCTCCCGTTGTCCGCAGCCTTCGCTGTTCAGCACCATCACATTGGGGCATTTCTAATTCAGCCACTGAAGTTATTTTATTTGCAGAAGAGAAAGTTGGAGTCCACTTCATTACAACCTTCAGTAAATGACAAGCTTTTACACGGGGAAGATGGCAAGCTAGTGGTGTTAGATTTAGGACACAGGAATAGGAAACTGTAGGTTTTCCAGGCATGGCTGCTTGGGGCTGGCTGGCTCATTCTCCCTCTGCGGGTTTGCTCTGGGGCTTTGTGTGGGGATGGCTCAGCATTATATGGTTAAGGCCACAAGTGGGCTGCATGGCACTGCCTGGGAGCTCTGTGCCCACCTCCATACATGAGGACCTCTCCCCACCGCCCCCCACTGGAAATCCCACCCCCAGCACGCGCGCATGCCCGCACTCTTGGTCAATCTCCTGATTGATCCTGTCAGAACTTGAGAGCTTTTTTCTCTCCCCGTGCGGTGATATAACTCAGCTGGGCATGCTTAATCAAGGTTTATTTAATAGTTGGGTGAATGAGTAAAAGAAATGGAAATGTTGAGGTTTCAGCCCAAGGAATGGGGCTTAGCCTGCATAAAGGATTTAAATTAGTTGTAATTTAAGAATTTCCTGACTGTGAAACTTGGGAATGAACTATGAGTGGGAGTTGTGGGATTTTGTTCTTGGGATCCTTCTCACCAGGCCTGAGTTGTCCCATTGTGGCCCCATCGAGAGGCAGGGGGTGGACTTCAGTAGATGATGATCTAACATTTCTGAAAATCCCTTTCTTAAGAGACCTGTGATTTTTATGACTCAATATCCAAAGTTATCATGGAGGTAAGTCTGCGGGGATTTTTTAAACAAAAGTGTTTAAAAATCCATTTTAAAAAAATCGAGGTATGGTGGCCAAGCATAGATACTCCAGGCTGACTGCCTGGGTTTACATCTGGGGCTGCCTCCCCTCACCCTGCCTCTTATTAGCTGTGTGAGCTTGGGAAAATGACTCAATCTATCTGTGCTTCAGTTTCTTCATCTGTAAAATGGGGGTCATAATAGTCTGAACCTTATAGGACTGTTGTGAGGATTAAATGTCAAATCAGGAAAACGTTTGGCACATTTTAAGTGTTAGCTATTGCCGTTTCAAATAGCAGATTCCATTAATGTGTTCTTGCCTGTTTGTGGATTTGGATTATCAATATGACAAAAGGTGAGGGAAGGATAAAATTAAAGTTATGTGGTATTGAGTAATAACCCAATGAAGGCTTATCAGAATAGATAAGGGTCTCTGAAATGATACCTCAATGGATATTTACAATGCAGATTTCATAAACCATTAGTGAGTGCTTTCCATGTCCCAGGCCCTATGCCTTTCTCATTTTATACAATCTTCAGGTCAGCCCTTTGAGGTCAACTCCATTTTAGAGGAGGAACTTGAAGCCTAGAGAAGTTGAGGGATTGCCCAAGATCACAAAGCTTGTGAATTGCAAAGACAGAATTCAAATAATCCCAAGTCTATTTCTTCATTATAGTAAATGAATTAGAAACTAATGATTCAACTGAACACACACACACCACATTTATTTCACGTGTAACCTTTCAGGAATGTAGACCGATGGTCAGAAGTTGTGAAACTTTAAATTGGGCCAGTTCTTTTTGTGCAGTTGTAGGTTGAAGCATGATAAAATACTCCCATGACAGCTATCCACATCTCCCTATGTCTGGATTGCTGTTTGTTTAGTCCTCTAACAAGCTAATTGTTGGTGAGAGTGCCACTTCAAAGATAGAAGAGACCCCTTCTTTCACAATTAGAGCCCTTTTTATTAATAACCAGGTGGTTAACTCCAAAGGAACCAGGCAACTCTTAAAATCTTTGGCTTCAGTTCATTTATATCACAAGAGTGGAAGTTGCTGGAAAACGTTTTTGTTTGATTTTGATTTTTCTTCTTATTTTATGCTCTAAACAGAGACTAGAAGTCATCTTTCAGGACATTTGATCCCAGTACGATTTTGGTGAGCTTGGGGGAAGAGGAGTGAAGAATTATGTCCTTAATTCTTAAGAAGGATACTTAGAACTTTCCCCTCTTATTTTCAGTTGGAAAAACCAGGATTGGTGCCTTCTAACAACAAAAGGATATTTGCTTGGGGTTCTTCAAGGGAGTTCGGTAAAGGGATCAAAGAGAAGTCTTGAAAAAAAAATTGAGTTGGAAGTCAGTTGGTAGTCACCTAAAAGATCATTTTGTGATTATATGTTTTTATAGCTTTATTGAGGTATAATTGACATACAATAAAGTACCTATAAAGTGTACAGTTTGATAAGTTTTGACATATGTATATGACCACAATCAAGATAATGAACACATGACTCATGCCCCCAAATTTCCTCAAGCTCCTTTGTAATCTCTCCCTCCCACCCCTCTCCATGACTCCTTAATTCCCAAGCTGAAACTGATCTGCTTGTCATTGTAGATTAGTTTGCATTTTGTAGAATTTCATATAAATTAAATCACACAGTATATACTCTTTTGGGGGGGGTTGTCTGGGTTTTTTTTACCCAGAATAATGATTTGGAGATTCATCCATGTTGTTGAGTATGTCAATAGTTCATTCCTTTTTCTTGGTGTGTAATATTCTATTGTAGAATTATTTAAACAATTTGTTTACCCATTCATCTGTTGATGGACACATACATTGTTGCCTGTGATTTTAATCTAACCCATTTATTTCACTCATGGAGAAACAGAGGGCACAGGGGAGGAAGTCTCCAGAAAGGGGACTTGGTCAAGGTCCACAGCGCCTTTGGGGAGTAATGGGAAAGCAGCCTGCTACCCTGGGAAACTGCGCTGAGAGGCCTGGTGGTTAGAGGTGTGGCTTGGCTTGTTTTGCCTGGGATGACCATTCATTTGACATCTCTGAATCCATAGTAACTTTAGGAATTTTTAAAAAGATTGTATGGCATTTTGTCCACATACATCTCTCTATATCATTGATAGATGCCTTTTTGCTGTAGACAAAGAGATACCTTATGTACCTGGTATGTTAATATCAAAGAATAAGGGAACCCATGTTCTATTCTAGGCCAGTCTTTTCCACCTGGATTCTTTATCTCATCCTCCAGGGACCTAGAGCCTTCAATGATCTCCTCACTCTAGCAGATCTTGAGCTGCAGCCTGCAGTCTTGTGCAAGTCTCCCTCTCTCTCCTCTCTCTTAAAGCCCCTCCGTTGACCCTGCATAAACCTCTAGTTCTCACGTGATTTGTCTCCTTCCTTTTGAGCAGTTTCTTGAAAAAGTACCTACGGTTGCTGTCTTTACTTCCTCACTCTCCATCCCCTTGTTTTTGGTCCTTCAGTCCCTCTCTCTGATGCACTTGGTACTGTTGACCGACCCCTTAATGCTTAAACCTCCCACCCTTGGCCTCCATGAGTGACCCCATCCCTCCTGGTTTTCCTCCTGCTTGTCCAAATGTTCCTTTTGTAGTCTCCATCATGAGCTCATTCTCAGCCACTCCTCAGAACTCTATCCTTGACCCACTGCTCTTCTCTCTACTTTCTCTTTCTGGAAGGTCTCTTGTGTACTCAAGATTCAAGTTATGTGGTTGTTTCTGACTCACCCAAATGCATATCCATAGCCATGAGTAACAGACTAGAATACCATCTCTTTGGATGTTGGATGGGGACAAACCAATCATGTCTCAAACTGAACTTGTAGTTCCCCCTCAAACGTACTCCTCCCATTGAAGGCGTC